GGTTCCACGTGTCACTTGAATCCAAACTGCTTATGTTCAAAAGCTAGTATAATTGGATAAATGCATATTTTCTTAGGAATTCGTCTTTATTACCAGATTTGATTATGATAAAATGAGATGTCTTTATGAATTGTATGCATGTAAGTTTCTATTGTAATATTCATAAAGAACGATATCAAAAGGGTGTGACTATGATTACTTTATTATAAATGGAAATAATTCATAATAGTTCAGTTTCACGTATATAATTCAAAAAAATATACCACCTCCCTGCGTTTGTAAATGATTTTATTAATAAAATATATGATATATTATTTATAAATATTATACAATTATATAGAATCCGTACTTGGGACAAATTAGAGGATTTGACAAACGTTTATATATAGGTAGTAGTGTTTACTTGTTTTCTGACCTAATCCTACTTTGTACTTACTTTACGTTTGTATTTATCGAAAACCCGTTCAGTCATAAAATGTTATTCGTAGAGCCAAAACTTTTTTTATTATTTTGATTTAATCTGGTATCTTGTGAAGTTTCCATAAAGTTATTCAAAGGTACAGCTGTGTCACCATTTGCTTCTTTTGCGTTTTGGCAATAATATATTTCTGAGGTCTTTAAACTTAATTGATTAGGTCATGTTTAAGAATTTATAACGACATATGTAACTGTAATGACAGGACAAAATGTGAATCATGTAATGTTTATGTTTAATTCTTTATTGCTTGGTAAAAATTGTTTGCAAATGAAATTATGAGGTAACATAGCATTAAACATGATATCATTTTCAGAGTCTTCACGTTTTCTTATCATTTATTTTATGTTTGTTTTCACTGTACACATCTTATTAGGACCCTTGTAATTCAGTTACTCTGTGATTTGGATGGTAATGACTATGATGAAAATTTTGCGCATTTTTGATGAGAAAGAATAACACGAGTTCAGAACAACATATGGTAAATTATGGTAACTTACAAACAAAGGGGTTAGGGTAATATTCCAGGCCCTATTCCCATCATGTAATGGCACAAAATAACTGTAAACACATGTCATAATTGTGTCCACGCAACTTTCGAACATTACCAAAATTCTTGCAAATGGCGTTAATACGTTTAATGGCGTTAGTTTAACAGTTCCACGTTGTTTATGCTGCTGTCAAAACATTTCTACGAGGTGTCTGACATTTTGAAATGATGGGAAATAATTAGCCACACCTGTTTTACAGTGGTCAATCTGTGCCCTCGCTTGACCAGTATCTTTTCTAACGGTAAGGCGATAACTTCCAGGGCGAAAATTAATTTCAAATTACTACAAATCAGCGCCGGTGTTTGTGGCAGGCGTCATGTAGATATCCTTAGCACGATAAGATCAAAAAAACGCGTGCGCTTTATGAGTCTGATGTGGACAGACGTAAAATATAAGCCAAGCCACAATTTGCATCAAGTACGCGTTAAAATGAAAACCATGACTTTTGTGAACGTTGCGTTTAAATATGATATATTTTTTGCCAAAACTCTATTATTGATTCCCTGTTTGTAAAAACAACAAATGTTTATTTTAATTTAATGTAATATTTGAGGCTAGCTAGCCCTATTAGTATATTAAAAAGTAATGTTTTACTAAAATGGTCGACCTTCGGCATATTTTCAATGAATTCTAAAAATTAAATTGAAAGCAGATGGTGTTAAACATTAGCGAAACGTAATGTAAATTTAGAAGGCAAATTTAAAATGCATTAAGATGGCATTTTCCCGATTATGCTTTTAACATATCTACTTTACTATTTATACAAAAATCTGATATCTCATTTGTTTGTTGATACTGAATAATTTCAGAGGAAGTTTTTTCTCTCAATTGTTGTTTTGGTTGTTCTTGATGATAATGCGTTACCTTTTCTCTCTTTTTTCTCTCCCTTTTTGTTGGGAGTTGGGTGGAGGGTGTTATTCGTTGTTGAGATATATTATTGCAACTATTCAGTACATAAATACATTACATAAATACGCGAAACATTCACAAAGCGACAGATTACAAATGGGTCGGGCAGCAAGATATAACAGCATTAGCAGCAGCCCCCTTCCACCTCCCGTCCCCCATCAAAGTCAGAGTTTTATGTCATAATTAGCCGGTACTTCTTATGCAGTTAATTATTTTATTTGAACAAAAATTACTGAACGTTTTGAGATGAAAATGATAGTGAAACTGTTAGAGAGTTATTTGAGAGAAATAAAGACTATTTTTTGTTATAAAATATAGATCTAGACTAATAATTGAACAAGAATATCACACCAGGGAAGAACTCAGTCCTTGGCAAGATAAGATGTCAGAAAAAACTATACAAATTTTCTTCGAAAAAAACAACTGGTAATAGTTATACCACGGCACAAGAATATGCGAGAACATAATAACATTGTCATTTCAAATTTGCTTAAAACTTTGCTAATCATACCAATGATTTAATAATACTATGTTCTTGAATATACGTAATAATATGCGCCAATAATGAGAAGAAGCACTTATAATCAAATCTAAGATCACGTGATATAAAGCCACGAGAGCGTTTCCTCTAACATATTACATAGTTTAAGTCACATACCGTAGAAAAACCAAACATTGGCCTTGACAATGCATTCATCATCAACATTGCACATGCATTCTGCATCGTCTTTTTTTCAAGTACATAATAATTCATGTCTCTGCGCAGGTTTTTGCGCAAGTGTTTTTTTTATGCGCACGCGCTATCATAGCCCTCCTGCAAAAAACCTTCAAAACTTTACATATCTCCCTGAATTGGAACAATGACGCCGGAACCATGAAGGAATGGGGTGTGCGTTTATTTTTGTTGACATTAAGAACCTTTGGTCTTGATTATACCTGTTGATAGGTCCGTGAAGTTTAATCACGGATGACACCAAATATCTTGTCAAAAAATGAACAATGGCATTAACATGTGCTATTGATGTATAGTGCAGATTTCTGTTTTAAGATCAAGCACGCGCATTGCCTTTGAATATCCATGGGGGTTTTCTTCACAATTTTGTAGTCATGTAACGATATACTAAAAGTTTAGACTTAAAAATTAATAAAATTGAAATTCTTAATATTCTTAAATCAAAAAAACGCAAGGATCACAAAAACAATTGTTTTTTTTTTTCAGCAGGTTTTCGACAATAACTGTCTTAGTGCGAGTTTTCTTTCAAGTTAGATAACTCGCTGTGCCAGGCATGGCAACTACATTTATATGCAGAGTACGAATCTTTTTGTTTTAACTAATGATTAGAATTGTTTATTAACTGCAAAATAAAAATATACAATTTCAATCTCATTCTCAGAGCCATAAGTACTTCCGATATATATTCTAGTATCTTTTGGAAACTCATAGCTATATTTCCCATTTTTTTCCCATTTGTCATTTCATTCAAACTTAGACCATCAAATATGTAATACTTTCTTACATCAATACCGTCTATTATGCACTAAATAACAGATAATTTATATTATTTTTGCTTCTTATAATTTCTAACAAAACTGATATTGTAGACAAAACTTTCATTCACGAAACATATCAGACCAAATGCCCTTGATGTTAATCGGTTAACCGTCAGAGAAAAACAGGAAAACCACTCTTAGAGCATTGCTAGAGGCAACGCTTATATAATTCCGGCATAAACCACCTATTTTTCAAAGTTTTAACATATGGCTCAGCTCAATAGTCGCCCTGACAAGTGGGGGTGCTTCTTATGTTATAGTTTTTTCTTGCTAAACGTATGTTTGCTCTTAAACGAAAAACAAAGAACGAGCGACACGGATTTCCTGTATATATAATTCTGTGGGAATTACCCACCTCGGAAAATAATCAAAGAGTCTGGCAAGTGAAAACCGCATCATCATTTCTACTCTTAGTTTCATTCATAAGCCGCCGGTACACTCGCAAGCCAAAAAAATGTTTTGCCAAGAAAATTACGGTTTTACAAATTTTAGTCACGTGAGACATGACGTCACACCTGGGCTTGTGCCAGACGCGTGGAGTTTCTACTATTTTCCCAGGCTCGGAAAAAAGAGAATCGGTAATTACACGCATGTTGGATTTTATGACGGTTTTATGTCTGTTACATGCATATAACGGTGATGTAATTATTAACACATTTTGCAGACGATCTTTTAACCGCATTCGTAAAGTCTTAAACAAAAGTGAATGTTTCAGTTAAACGGAGCGTCTTGGTCGCTGGCTTCAAACTCTGTTTTCCTTTTTGTCTACATACAATGTCTGTTTCTGATGGTTTTTCTGTCGCCACTTGTTTTTTCACCAAAGACCAAATTGTTTAGATGAAGGAAAAGCCGGAGTTTTAAAATGTTCCTTTTCTTTACCTGTATACAATTTTTGCCATAAACCGATTTATTACCAGGGTAATATAACGTATTATTTACATAATAATCATTGATTTATTTTCTGCTCTAATAAAACAAAACACGATTTGTATATCCAATTTTTTTATAGTCTGTTTTGTTGATGTCTTCGGAAACTACTTTATAATTATTTTCATTTCTCAGTCGTTTTAACATTTTTATTTGACTATATTTGTAATCTTGCGATACACTTTAAATATTAATACATAGTACATAATAATAATAGTGTTTTTTTTTTCTTTTGAAAGATTCTTTTTAGTGTTAATATGGCATCATAGAATACAACCTTCGCCTATTTAGATTTTATGCCGGTATATTCAAATATTCAAAGGCAGTGAACAGTTGGCCATACATGTCTATGAAAAATGACTTTGACTAAAATTATGAGAGCAAAAACAATAAAACTCTGAACAATTCATAAACACAATACGCATCTGTTATTTATTTCCCGGGCAAAGCTATGAAACTCCGAAAGCTTTTAATGTGAAATTTGAGAAGCCGTCGTATATCCCTAACTCCCTCCCCCTCGCGAGCTGTGCTCGTGCTCTAGATAAACAAACAACCAGTCAAATTGCTGCGCGTGCCTTTCTGAGTAGACTGGTAACCCACCGTTGGCCACTTGTTAGCGATATTGTTTTTGAACTAGTCTGGAACACAAAGACCCGTTCCTAATGGCAACCGAGCCTGCTTCGGTGTCATTCGTGAGTTAACGGTAGTTGATGAGTAGCAGCATGTGATCATATGTAAATATAATAAGAGAAGCAGAGGTGAGTTAACATCAGACGAGAAAAATCAAAGAAAGTGTGCAAAATTGTGAACATCTGAATTAGGACTCAGTGTTTAGTTTTTAACTAGTTTTTATTTCACGAAAAGTTTTTTTTATATCAAATGCGAAAAGGGACTTATGATTTTACAACAGGAATAAACTTACTTGGCAAAATACTAGAATTTTCACGAAAAAGGACATAAAAATGCCTAAAGCATTTTTATTAACGAATAAAAGATACAAAATATGGAAACAAATAAAGGAGACATTCAGGGAAGAACAGAGACGCCGGCTACTGGAGCAGAAGCAGCGTCAACAAACGGAAGTTCATTTCGACAATGTTGTAGCAGACGACAAGAAAACTTCTTTACTTCCGTTTGAAAATTCCACGGATTATAGTAAATATACAGACGTAACAGATGAAGAAGGTACATAGTTTTGATTAAAATATTCTAGAATTAGAACCCTAATGCTTTGAATCATTAAAAACATAAACATCAGAATTATTCTTACTAAAATGTCATTGCAGATTATGATTATAATTTCGTTTAAACGAAAACTAGTGAATTATGCTCTTTAAAGAGAAATATTTTCTTCCACATAATATACGTATAATCAGGTACTAATTACATCAAAAGATATATTTTAAGCATAACACTTCTATTGCCTAGAAGAAGCGTGGGAAACGAGCAGTTAATAGATGATTGATAATCAGGAAAATAGGAAATTGTCTGTGGCACGCCATTGCCAGGAATTTCATGAAAATCTCATGCTTAGCATTTTTGTAACTAAATAATCTATATGATATTATCAAAAGTGGATATTTGAAATACCTGAGTGTATAGTATGCCAATTTCAATTTTATGATCTTTCTATTAACTTTGTATCGTAAAGCTATTTAACAGAATATTTCCTCATTTTTAAATTAAAAAGTTGCGATGTTCTGCCAGAAGTGAACATAAACATATAAAATATGTTGCACGAATTAAACATAAAGTATAAAAGAAATGTATTGGTCCATTGTTCTTATTACAAGTAGCATGCAAAATAATCAAAATATTTCACGAGTAAACGTTAGTTTTACATTTTCCGAGTGCAAAAATATTATGATATATAATTATATCATAGTTACTTGTTCATTGCACCATTTGTGAAACATAATAATTTTGTTTTACAAGAAACTTTGTTTCAACATCAATAGAACTATTGTTTAACAGTTAATTTGAAAGCCATTCTTGCTCCAACATAAAGCAATTTGAATGTTTTTAAAGCATATGCACTTGACATTTTGTTGCTATAGAATGCAATTTAGTGAATTCTAAAAGCCATGTACACTACTTGTGGCTTGTATGTAACTAAATTCTTAAAATAAACAAAACATGCTTAATGCATATGACAAAAACTTAAAATCCGCAAAGCAAAACAGAAAGCATGCACCATTATACACTTATACATTATACTCTATTTGTGGCTATTGCTTATACCTTGAAGCATAGCATTCAACATTGTAATTATATATATTTATATCTTATTTATATATACTTATTACATATGTTTCCAAAAAAACAAAAAACAACATATATTTAAAAATAGATGTTTTATCATGTATATGCAATGATGAGATGTAAATAAAGATACTACAAGTACTATTTACTTTATATAGCTTGCATATCAATTAATCCCTAAAGCAAACTGAACATGCGTTATTTGTTGTTTCTATTAAATACATACCGCGATAAATTCCAAAAAATGAAACAAAATTATAGCATTTGACCATTGTACAGACATGAAATTTGAACCAAGGGTATAATTTATGATGCTTTTATATATAAATTCTTACCATTTTAAAACTTTTTTTATTACTATTGAATGTAAATCACTTAAAATTCTTAAAGCAAAACATATTTCACCATGAAACAATTTGTATTACTACTGAATGTAAATCGCTTCAAAGTCTCATTATAGCATTTCACCATTAAACAGTTTTGGTACTATTGAATGCAAATCACTTAAAATTGTTATTGCATAACATATAGTATTTTGCCATTAAACAGTTTTTGTTACTTTTGAATGCAACCCACTTAAAATTATCGTTGCAAAACATATAGCATTTTATCATTAAACAGTTTTTGTTACTATTGAAGGCAAATCACTTTGAATAAACATTTTTGCCATAAAACATTTTTTTTTAACTTTTGAATGCAAATCACTAATAATTATCATTGCAAAACATAGCATTTGCCATTAAACAGTTTTTGTTGCTATTGGATGCAAATCAGTGCATAACATAAATGTATAGCATTTGAGAATTTGACACTATTTGACTATTTGTTACTATTGAATGCATATCACTTGAGGTCTTAAAACAAATCTCCCTTTTAACAATGCCTTGGTAGCAAAGAGTATGTAATTGGGTCCGAGTGATAAGATAAATAATATTGAAATAATTCATTTTTCAAAAGAAAAAGTTGAAAAATAACACACTTTATCAGATTTTCCTTTTGTTGTTGACATAAAACAAAAATGACCAACACTTTATTATATTCCGGAAAGACCAAATGTTCATTGTCTTCAACTTATATACATTATAAAACTTTATATCGAGGTCATATGTTGCTAATGAATCCAATTTTATATATTTACCTTTACATGCCAACAAAATAACATAAAATGAAAGAAGGGCGACCAAACATCAAAGATTTATACCGGTATATACTACATGGCCCTTTTGAGTTACATTCTACCTCTAAAAAGACATGTTTTTTTGAAATTATTCCGTGACAAGAGTCATGCAGCATTTGAACAAAGCATTCATAAAAATGTGGTCAAAGAAGACATTTAAATTTTAAAAAGACGATTGTGTATATAAATTTGATATGAATTAACTCTTTTAGTTTATACTATAGGTTGATAATCTTTCAAAAGTCAATGTTTAACTGAAAAGTTAATAACATTTTAAAAATTGTTTTCATTTCCCTCAACTGAACTTTAACTGTTTTCCTGCAACTTGATTGGTCTTTGGCCATCTAAGCAGACATAGTGGTGTCGAGGTTTAAGCCTCTGTTACCAATGACAGAACACGTTTGACCTTGACAGCATCTTTTGCCAAACTCAAACCTGACCTATCTTTGACGTTATCTTCCTAGGCATTGTATAGCCACAATTACATTATAATTTATCTGATTTATAATCTTAGCCGTGATACGTACAAGAATAAGCCATTTGTCTTGTATATTTTTTCTTCTTTTTATTTTCATAATTTAACAAAGTTAAAAGATAAGTAAGTACAAAACCACTACTCGCACATTGACAAACCAAAACATTCGACACTTTTTATATCACGAGATATTTAGATATTTTTATTCTTCAGGAGGAAAAATAACTAATGACTCTTATCGAAATATTAATAGGGCAATTACGAGCATAATAATGTATTACCTTTATAATAATTGCATACTAAATCATACTATATCATATAATATAGCATGTTTATCAGTACGGCATTTGATAGGTCTGAAGTTTGCCTATGTTTCCTTATCTAAAACATGCTGCCTGTCTAATATCATTATACAACAAATATGTTCCTTTTTTCATTGGATCTCTTTGTCTCATATTAACCAGTAGTGTATGTTTTATGACAATGATAAAATGAAAATATAAGAAACAAAAGAAAGATAGCAGCGGTCTTTTGTAATGCCTGGAAAGTGAAATTTTAAATTTTACGACAATTTAAGATTTTCTTACACAAAACGTGAAGATTACCTTTCGTCGTCTTACTGCAATAACGGAATAAGTGCTTTTTTTATTTAATTGCACTTAATCAGTAATTGCACTAAGGTGACGATTTAAGTCCTCCTTTGTCATGAACTTTTTTGCGTTTATTTTAAGGTTATTTGTAATTATTTATTTACTTAAAGTATATTTGAAAGTTTCAAGTTTGAAACCGTAAATAAAAGTAACTTGAATATACAAACAAAAAAACGGCCAAACCTTGTGTTAGATAAGCAACATTGCATTAATATATTTATTGTAAGATATATTTGTTTCCTATAAACCAATTAAATCAGTGTAATATTAGTATAATAAGCAGTTAAATTGTAATCATCACAACGTGTGATCTGCACGCGACGCAACTTTCTTTCTCTGATACATAATAAACCTTAAAGACAACTGTTATTCCATCATATATTACATAATAAACAACTGTTGAACCATCTTGGTGCATAATTAAAAGTGCATTATAATGATTATCGTTCCAGATACGAGTGAAGTATCAATTATATTTGATAATAAGACATAGATATAATCGCGATTAAATAACGATAATATATTGCAATAATCTCTACATCATGTACGGCTGTTGCTGGTGGTTGTAAACCACATGGTGTCTCACTAGAACCTTTTGGCTGAACAACATGATCCAATAAAAGGATCGATCCTGCATCATTCAAAATTGAAACCTAATTTTTACCTTAAAAGCCAAAGTTACATTTCTTCAGCCTTTTATAATGATAAGTTTTATTGTTGGTTAATGTAAATTGATGTATATATAACAAACATTTAAATTTCGCCGAATTTAACATAAGGCAGTATAGTGAAAAAAGTTAACACCTAGATTATTACTTGATTATATGCAATATGAATAGCGACTTGTTAACTTAAGTTTATAATGTACCTATTTAATTAAACGTTTCTAACTCAGTGTATAAGCATATGCACTAAATGAAGAAGAAAAAAATAAGAATATTAAAAAAAAAGAAAACAATGTCAACATTTATCATAAAGATATTTAATTTTAGACATGTTAATACATTTCTTATTAATTGATTTTTGTGAGAATTTATTCATACAATTATGACAAAATTATTTTGCTGTTGCTTTTTTAAAGACTAAGTCAGTTATTTAAATTATCATTCATGTTGGAAAATGATACAAAATATCACCCGATTATAATTTTATTTGATATCTTATACTGGACAAAATCTCTAACAACTGTTTCAAATGTTCACTTTGTTTGATTAAATTCATTGCTTCTTGTGCAGTGCAATAACAGAACACCATAGTTAATATGATCTGATAAATTCCATATTGCATCTATCTAATATCAGACGATCGTAATCCGTCATCTTGTCAACCAGGCTTATTAGAATCAAATCATTCCTGAAAATCTCAAAGACACCAGGCTTCGTAATTGCTAAATTTATCTGGCGCGGCGACTTCAAAGAGCCGCCTAATTACCTATAATAAATCAATCAACTTACTGTAATATAAACAATAATCTTATCTCTAAGATGTAACTCATCGCAGTATGGGGTTAATCATACAATTATTAATCAGTTAGGGGGAAAGGTCATGTTACTACACCGTAGTTTTTCTACGGAAACATTACACGTAAACAAAAACAGGTTTCTTTAAACAGTAATTTTGTAACTTCTTTTAAAAGAGTTTCTGAGAAGTGAATATTAATTAACATTTTTGTACAGCAAAAAATTGTACCAGAAGTAAATGAAAATCTACTCCACGGTATCGTTAGTATTACGCAAAAAATGAAGATGTTAAGATGTTAATAAATGCAATGATTGTTGTACCTGTGTGGTTTCTAATATAACAGAAGTCTAGTTATTAATGTAATAAATTAATTATTTATATAAATTTAGTCATTAATAAAAAAGACTTAACCGTGTATAGTTGATATAAAAATGTTAATCGTGTTAAAGTGATGTCGTTTTTGTGGTATGATATTTCGGTGCCAAATTAATATTATGTTAACGTAACGCCTTCGGGAGTTTTTATGTTTCATAAATGATTGTATGTCTATGAATATTATATGTTTATGATCGGTGTCTATGTCTTTAATAATTATATGTCTTTATTTATTATATGTCTTTCATGATTTTATGATTTTTATAATTATATATCATTGATAACTATATGTCTTTTATAATTATATGTCTTTAATAATTATATATCTTTATTTAATATTTATATATGTCTTTCATTATTATGAGTCTTTGCAATTATTTGTTATTACTAATTATATTTCTTTTATAAATATATGTCTTTAATTATTATATGTTGTTAGTTATTATATTATCTAATAATTATATATTAATATATAGTAATTGTACTTCTATAAACTATCACGTGTATATGAAAATTATATCTCTGTAATAATTATATGTCTCTTTTATAAATATATGTCTTAAAAGACTATATTATGTCTATAGCAATTGTAACAGTATATCTATAAACTATAATATGTCTGTAAAATTGTAAATGAGTTGAAAACTTATATTTCTTTAAATATACGTCGTAGCTAATAATAAGTCCATACTCATTATTATATTTCTTTAATTCTATACCACAGCTGATTTAGAATTACACAATTATATTATGTTTAATGGTATGTAATTAATTTTACAGGATAATCATTCGTATGAAATGATTATAGAGTAAACTAATTTGTCTTTACTCAGTATAATGCACAAATAAATAAAGCCACTAATTATAATTCTGATATAAGAAAATATTTGAAATATTTTATTCATAAGAAAACTGTCGACCGTATCTTTGAAAAAAATTATCAAAACATAACGAGTGGGCATTTTTTCAAGCAGAAAGCGTCCTATTTCATTTTTAATAGTATTGTTAATTAAACGTAATTTAGAAAAAATGAAACGGCTAAAAAAGACCCTATTACAATACATACAGTATCAACGTATATAACAAAAATACCTTTAACTCACTTTAACAACCTAATGGTTAAATAGGAAAAGAAAATCGCTTAAAAGATATTTCAAATATTTTGATTATTTTCGTTTTTCATTCTAGTATGTAATTAAAATATTCAACATGCAAAGAAACGCATTTTCTACATCAATAAACGTAATCTGAGATATCCTGCGAATAAAAAACAGACTAGAAAAACAAGTCGATAAAAGTTAGGTGCTAAGACCACTTCTACCACCCATGAAGATACGTAGAATAAAGTAAAAGTGATAATCATTAGATCGCAAAACATTTCGCGGATAAAAAAAACTTTCTGCGGATTTTCTGGATTTACCAATGTTGCATGCTCGTTGATTAGATAAATATTCTATGCGTTCTAAATAGCTATCATTAACGAGATGGGAGAATAAAAAGAACTAATGCAAATCGTAGTAAATTAAATAATCGCAGTAAATATTAGTTCACAGTAAACAATAATAATAATTCTCTTTAAATAGCGTAATTCAATCTGTATTGGATTTGTTATAAGATATTAACTATTGCACAACAAAGTTCAGCAGATTATTTCAATGCGTCTTAGAGTAGACGCGCATGAAATAAATAATTATATCCCTCTAATGTATTTCCAGTTCTTATATAAAACGAATCATAGATCTTTTTTTGTTTAATCAGCGCATAATCGGCTTTAGCAAACTTTATTACTGAAATAATAACAAATAGACAATAACTTCATTAATGAACTAATAAGTTAAAGGTAATAATGTTTCGCTGCATTTATAAATTTTTGCATGTTTCGAGGTAGAAATCATAACTTCAGTTTTTACAACGTTTGCATGTTTTGAGGTATATTAGCTCTTAACTTTTGTCTACATATCTTAGTTAAATATCACTTTCAATATTAGTTTCTAGGATTTATATGTTTGTAATGTTTTATTGTAATGCGTTGCAGCGTTCTTTTTAAGACTTGATTTTTCGTATTAAACCCAACTATTCTGTCTGAAAAGGTATACTGTTTTTCATCCTATATTATTATTTTCACAAGGAAAAAAGTTTAAATGGTTCATACAAGTATAAATTTCATTAAGACTCGTTATTAAATCTTAACACCGTCTACTCTCTCAAAATTCCAGAGTTATATAGGAGAAAGTTTTTAATCCATTCTTTAAAGAATTGACGCGTTTGGCTTCCATATTAATTTTTATTTACTTTAATGTAAGAAAAGAAATGAAAATATTACGGAAAGCCGCTTCAAGATTGTAATCGTTGGAAAGTATCATCCAACGTTTTCATATTTTTCTTTCAATTTTTCATTCACACTTATATAATGAGAAAAGAAATATTTTAGAACGCTTCTTGAAGAATGAAATAAGCAAAAGGCAGACGATAATTGTTTTTCACTTTAGCACATGTGTCTTTCATCAAGCGTCACCGGATACCGTTACCACTGCAGCGCGTGCCCTACATTATCGCTCGCGGGTGTCATTGGCTCCCCTCTATCAGCGGTCGCCATGGCAACCGTGCAATTGGAAGCATATATCTCGTGGTTTTCATTATAATTAAAGTTTGCAGCAAACGGGTTTATGCGATAACTTGTCTCTTTAGATTATATCACCCCTTTCTTTACATACATTGCACGAGAACAATTCAACATGCTTTCACGTGGAAACAATTAAATTAAACAACCATCAAAGAACAAGATTTTTTAGCCCTTATTCTTTTTATTATTTACTCTGCTTAAACATTTCTAACATTTATGTCGTTTCTTTTTTATCATTTTTATGGGAAATTTTGTTGTGTTTTATTAGAAGTCAGCATATTTTTGAATTTGCATTTACTTTGAAAGTAAGGTCTATTCGCTGAGTAGTCTAGAATTGTATTTTGTTGGTTTAGGAACACGCATGCCGTACATACAATAATTGATTCAAAGAAAACAGCTTATTACTTATATCCTAATATTGACTTTTATTTGTCTTTCCAGAAGCACCGATTTCGCCACAGATACCATCACCCGCCATTAGTCCGTCCTCTTCACATGCGTCATCATCGACGTCATCAGACGAGAGCGACAGTGGATATTCATACACGACAGAAAATAGGGCCATGTCTCCTACCATAGATTTCGGACTCACTTGTCGTCAACAACACATCTCTTTCCTATATGAGCTTATGACCAACACGAATCAAGCTACACCACCGTATAAAGACAATTTCCATCAAACTTATGACCAGTCCTTTCATAAAATAGGGGCAGATTATTCCGCGCGCGTGGGCCAATATTTCGTACCAATTCATCCAATCATCAGCCAACCACTTCAGCCGATTTCTAATACGCAAAGCGAAGTTGAGAGTCACGCATGCGCAGAATGTGGAAAGAGATACAGCACTTCAAGTAATCTCGCGCGACATCGACAAACACACAGAACGACAACTGATAAAAAAGCCCGGAAGTGCCCTCATTGCGACAAAACATACGTTTCGATGCCCGCATATAGCATGCACGTGCGTACGCACAATCAAGGTTGCGAATGCAAGTACTGTGGAAAAAGATTCAGTCGTCCTTGGCTTTTACAAGGTCACATTCGCACACATACGGGTGAGAAACCATTCTCATGCCCAACTTGTCAGAAATCATTTGCGGACAAGTCTAACTTGCGCGCGCATATACAGACTCATTCGTCGGAGAAGCCGTACGTCTGCGGACGCTGTGGAAAGGCGTTCGCACTGAAAAGCTACTTGTATAAACATGAAGAGTCTTCGTGCATGCGAGGCCAGAAATTTAGACAGTAACATTCGAGAGAATCTTTTCATTATAGAGGACATTATTTTGGACATTATTACAAAAAGACATATAAAAATTTTACAACAGTTCGTAGATAAGTATACCAAACAAAAAACTATCAAGCGCATTTCAATCAACTATTTCATAAAAAGAGATGTAAACAGACATGTTAAAAGAACAAAAACTTATAATTAAATCAACGACAACATCCTTTTCACATTTCGCCGAAAGAGAGACAAATCTAAATTCTTTAAATATGAAAAAATTCAACATGGAACTATTCATACGAAGAAACTGCTGAAAAATAAGAATACCAGTCTTTCTATTGTACTACACGCCTCGACATGATGTTTTGAGGTTTCATATTACATAACTTGACATTAAATATGGAGGTTTCACATAACACCTCGATACATTATTACACAGGGACTCGATACAACATTACTGACCTTGACCTGGAGTGTCAAGGTCAAGGGCCTACATATTATACGTCTCGATGAGAAGTTCCGAGACAACGTTTATTCCAAATCAAGTGCTACAATTTTAATGGGATCAAGTCATTTTTCAGTCATTTATTTCAACGCTTTCATTAAACAAATTCATTTTTTATATAACGACATGGATTGAACTAGTCCAAGAGAGTAACAAGTTTGAGTTGACGTTTTCTTTCCTTTAGTTATTTTTCTTTAGCTTTATTTAAGTGACGTCATAGGATTATGAATTAAGATTTTTTTTTAAGACTTCTTTTTTAACATTTTATATGTCAGTATTTAGCATTAGTGTTGTTATGTCAAAAAAATCTAAGTTAAGATTTTTAAACTAGTTTAATGTAATTATAGTTAAATGTATTTGTCCCTTTGATTAATTCCAAAACCAATGTATTGCGACTGAAAAGTCAGTTCAAACGTGTTGAACTATTTAAGTCATTTATTTATTTATTATTTATTTATTTATCTATTTATTTATTTATCAAACAAGACATGCATTTTATTACCAATGCTGTTATATGGAAATTAAACAGGAAAACATTTATGTCTATGAAATACATTCACTTACGACAAATTAATCTAATTTTGCAAATTGGAACTTTTTGATAAGATTGTTTGTACCATTTCGTATCGTTTTTTAAAATATGAAAAAAAAAAATTGTTCACTTATCAAAAGTGTTTGCACTGAAACATTACTCACTATAAAGTGTGTAATTAAGATCGTATCGTGATATGAGCAATGTTTTGTTTTAATGATTATAATCGCATGGATCATCATCATAAGACAACAATGAAAATAAAAAAATAATTTTTGTATCATATTTTTTTCACATCTGATTATATATATGTAAATACTGTTTTTCGTATTATTTATTTTATATATTTATTAACCTGCGTGTTGTGCCGTGTTTTACCCCGTTTCTATTTATTTTATTTTTATTTATTACAAAGCTTTTTTTTAATTTATTGTAATTTATTGACTCGAACATTCACTGATCTTCATCAGATTCAGTGAACCGTGATCTCAGTGGATATGATTTTTTTTATTTTATTAACTATGCAACAAAATGGCAGCATATTTTATGTTTCATTTAACCATAATCTTTTTTGTACAGCTTGGTACATTCTTTAAATAGATATAATCTATATAATAGAAAAAAGTCTATAAATAGAAACATTCTACAAATAGATATGTTCTATAAATAGGAACGTTGTATACATTTAATATACGTAGTATACATTAATGAATTTGCTTATTTTACTTAATGAGATATCATAGCATACGAACATTCATACATTACTGATTTTAATAATTTTATATTATGTGTCTTCGTTTCCTAATAACAGCCATTGCATTTGTGATGTTTACATGATAAATGATCGACGTATGACGTAATCATTTTTGACGGATTGATATAAAAGAACTATTCCCATCGGTTACCATAGGAACTCGGTTTCTTTTTTAAGGAAACGGTCAGAGTCAGGCAATTTTCAAGATACCAGACCGTGTCAAATTGAGATTATATAACACTCAATGACCGGAAACGGAATGAATTTTATAAAAATGTAACTAAAGAAATATTAAAGACAGGATACATATAGGAAATCAACGCGCTGCAATCTGCGACCAATTCCCGAGTTCCTTTAGGTGTTACATGAAAGACAAAATCTGCACAAACCTGTGGATCATTTATAAATTAAATGACCTTGAACCATTCAATGACCTTGAACCATTGACATTTTGATGTCATAAAAAGAAAGTGTATCTTTAGATTCCAAAATAATTGTTTTAAACCAAACATTCTTTGTTACCGTTTTCTTCATTGAAACTTCCGGTAAACGCTTGAAATCATTTCATCATTCGTCTAGATGATATATGATTATTATTACTTTTTTGTTATAAATTCATGTTTGCGTTTATGGTTTGATGTGTTTTTATTATTATTTATATTCTGACAATGTGGTGTAATATATATATTTGAAGTGTTGCTTCATAATTTACATATATTACCAATTTTTGCAGCTATGCAACTTCTTGGATATGTTTTATTTGTTTGCAATTGATCAATGAAGGTACGGCCTTTTTAGCGTTTGTAAGACATGTTTTGATTGGATGATTTGTTTTCTGGGTGTAGCTATTACACATCACGACAAATGTGACAGATTTTAGACAAGCACCCAGAATACTAACGTAATAGAAATATTACGGACCAATCAAACTATATGAAAATAACAAAACACTATTTTCAAGAGTCATGGTGGCCGAAAACAATTCTTGTTTTAGTATGCTACAGTAGCTTATATGCGTCTATTTTCTATACTTACCATCAAAAATAGATTTAGTTTGTCTGAAACCGGAAACGGAGAGTAAATGTGTATGGAAGTATATACGTATGCCAGGGCTTCATTCTCTATGCTTTGCACATATTTACTTTTAGTTATAAAATGGAGGTAATATTAAAATAAAAAGCATTTCTTAAGGACCAAAATCATTGTAAGGGAATAAGTCTTGATGAAATCCTTTGCATTAAAACGAGATATGGAAATTTTAAACAAGTTTACTTAAAATGAATACTAAAAGAACATTTGTGTTAGAGAACTATTAATAAAAGCGATTTAAGAAAATCAGACTTTTCTGGGTTTTTTTTCTAAAGAGTTATTGCTCTTTGTGTCTATTTTAGTAGAAGCTGAAGACCGATAACTCTTCAGATACTGACACAAATTCATCGAGACTTGTTTCCCTAATCACCGTCTGTGAAGACGCTAAAACATATGTGTGTACTCATTGTTTCATTAGAATAGGAAAAAGGACAATACAATTCTCAGATATGTCAACATTTTTTTCAAAGTTGGCAGTCATATATCTAAAGATCAAAAGATAGGTCACATGCATAACTGAATTGATACTGCTATGTGTGCTATTTTGAGACTAGAAAGTGTAGAGTGAAACTTAATATCAATGTTATGTTATTTCATCGGCCTTCGCCATTTTAGTATGTAACATCTACAATGCATTTGGAGAAGGTTTATTTTTTTCTGATACCGAAGGAAGGAACAAATGCGGTGTATTGCCTTAACATAATACAATTTAAATGTATGTCTTTAAAATCATTGAAAACATAAATTTTATATAAAAACAAAACAATTTTGATACATTTTATTGTATAATATCATTTTTCAAGTACATGTATACGAAAATCTAACAAACAAGTGCCTTAGTATCAACTGTTTCATCCATTTTTACCATTTGTGCCAAAAAAATAAAATAAAGTTTTTCATAGATATTGGTCTTGCTTATTTATTATTTGTTGTGCTGTTCCCATGGTAAGGACCAGCTCAATCATTCGACGTTCCTGGTCAAACATGCGTTTGTAATGCAGAAACACAAAATATATGTATTGTATGCATTACACAATTATACACCAATGTAATGCATTATATAACAGTTAATTTAGTGGAAAATATTGTGCATTACATGCAATTAATTGTGAAAATGTAATGCATCACAGTGCATTACAATTACATTTTTGCATTACCATAAGCCTGGTGTGCATTGCTTCTTTTAATTGCTTACAAAAAAAGTCAATTGTTTAAAAAATCATGCCATTATGTACCAACATTTGTATTTCATACTGTTTTTTTAACAAATATTATTCCAAACTTATATCTTTATTACGTTTCTGTGCTGAATTTCTGGGGTTTTAAACATTTGCTATAAAAGCAAGGTAAATAGTATTTTAAATGGCATCCCAATATTATTCTTTAGTATCAGTTATAGACAAATGTGTGTTAAAGTGTCCGGTGTGTTGATAAGATAAACATTGACTTAAAGACTGGTAAACTATCAAACTAATATCAATTGCAGCATCCTAGTCCAAATACAAGAATAAAGAAGTGGAAGTTTGATATATAGTAGTTGTATACATGGCATACTGGACGTTTTTTTTTATCACAGGATGACAAAGCAAGATTGTGACAAAGGTGAAAGAATAACTTAAAGTGACAAAAAAGCAGGCCTAAAGAGTCAATAACAAAATGTATTCAATAAGATAAATTAATGACGTGGACTTTCAATGACTAGGACACTGAGAGCTGCAAATTATCTCTTATTGAGATTTCTTTTCAATTTACATCTGCAATAGACTACAATAACATTCAAACCAAATTTTGTTGTTAAGCGAAAATAACGTTTTCCTATCTGGAAAAAAACATGTCATCATTTTAATGGGAAATTTCTAAATATGTACTGATTGAATAGCGCACAGTACAGACCATGATCAGACGGCGAGGATGTTCCGACAGATTTTGGTCTGCACTAGACGCATTAGCAGATTCATGCTGATATGCTTTACAAAATGCATACGCCATCAACTGAATAAAATTACACACACAATATCTTTTGTAAGTTTCGTCCAATCTTTTGTAAGTTTCGTTAAATGTTTTCCAATTTTGCGTGAAGTACAATGCACTAAGATTTCCTCAGCTTTTGTGAAAAAAATTTAAATGGTCACTGTGAAAAGTTAATTTTGGGAAAACCTTTAAAAAAATATGCGAGCTGTAAGTGTTATCTTTGAAACAGTAATATGAGTGAAACGAACATCGCCGAGCGTATTTGTATCCGAAGATAAAAAAATAACAAAATAATATGTACGTAAAATGTAAATTTGAGATTTACATGTATAAGTCTCCTTTTCCCCCAGTCCCGAACCCTGATTTACTGGTTGAACGGTTGGCAGCAATGTTTTTCATTTGCCACCTACCAATGTGCGTGCCAGTGACTTTGCGTTGAATTAAAAGAAAAAAAGCGCAACTTATAATACACTCGGTTTCCTCTCTCCCAGACAAGAAAAAGGGGAAAAAATAAAGAGGAAAAATAAGTGAAGAGCATGCGCGTTGAGTAATGAGTCAAACGAATATAATTTTTGGTCTTGCGCAGTGTTCCAATGACAAATGATCTGACACGGGTTTTTCATACATGTTTTCGTCGTCCTATCATCTGATCTGCATTACTGTGTTTCGGATCCCCCATAGGTTATGTAAGATTTGTTAGAGTAATTGATAGACAGTGGAATAACTTTTTTACGAGTTTGATATAAATTTCAAGCGTCTACCATAACCGAGCTGATGCTCCCAGCAGTAGGTGAAATTGCCTTCGCACGTGTTCGTTATTATACTGCACACCGAAATGAACGATGTTACAAAAATGTTCCATTCGATCAACGGCATTTTGAAATTATAATACCATATTTAACGAAGCTCAGAACTTTTTTCGGTCGTTGGCTATTTTTATCATCTTGACTTCCGGTATTTATACAGGCTATTTGCCATCTTTTTCTCGGTACTAGTATTTGCCGTACAAGTAATTTGTACGGTGTGTATTATCTTAATGATGAAAATTTAAATCAAATTAGATTTTTTTTCTTTATTTGGGTGTGAACAGATAAATCAACACAGATGCGGCCGACAATAAATTCTTTACCCGTTATAATAAAATGTTAAACATCAACAATTCCTCAGAAACGATTTTAAAAACCAGGTTTACCACGAATGTCTTCCATCTTTTTTCTAAATCTTTTGTAAACATTCTTTTGAACATTTCTAACAACTTATATCGTGACTTATAAATGCATGACTTTGTGTGCGTCCGCTTGCGTGTATTTTCTGGTTTCTGAAATAATATTTCTGCATCGTACATTTTAAAAATGGCCACTTTATAAAAACTTCCATCTATAAATGCCTGAATGATACATTGTATCTCATTAATTGAAAATAAGATTTCACAGCATGAGCTTGCCAAACTCAAATTATAGACATTGTCGCAATAAAAAAGTTATTGTATTGGGTTACTGAAATACAATGTACGTATCTCAACATATTAACACAATTAACAAAAAATGTAGTTGCACATCATCTTCATCATCATTACGTAAATACAAAGGAGGAAAGCTTGATGCCAAATTAAATATGTTCTTCGAATTTGAAACGTTTATAATAATCGGATATGTTGTTCTATTTTTTTACGTGCAGTGTAATAGCTTATGCCCTTGCAGAGTTCTAGGGAACTTTTGCTGCGCATTCCAACTAACGGTAAACTTTTTCCCACGCTAGAATAAATCTTTCCGGAGTCACGTGATTCACATTACCATGTGTGATTTGACTTTTATCATGTTTTCATCCGTCGTACAACCTGTTTAAATTGAGATCTATCGGTTCTTTCTTTCGTCTTACCGGCATAATGATTTATATCTTTATCAAATATATCATAGAAAATTCCTGGAATTCGTATAACAGTCTCATATAGTAAAATTCTTTCTAAGTTTTGTTCCAAATGTGTTCTGAACAATATTGGCATCGGGTAAAGAAATGCAATATTCTCTGTCCCAAAGTTGCTTTTTTCTATTCTCTTGAAATGCGCATCATGTTACCTTTAAAAAAAATAAACAAAGTATATTTATGGCACGCATGCGCAAACATTAAAAAGAAACAATACATTGTCAGAAAGTCCTAAACTCAAATTTAATACCTTTTATATAAAATGAAGGCAATTACAAAAAAAAATATTAGTTTCAAAATTTCTGCCAATGCTCACGGTGCACATGTGTATTGTAATTTTTGCAGTTTTATGTTTTATAAATGTTGATTAAAGGCCACTTTAAACAATTAGTTTTATATTTTCCTGATAACCGTCAAAAAATAAAGTTGCTATTATTATTATTATCTTTTTGTTATTACATGTATTTCATCTCGCTTTTTACCGGCCACTAATAACTATTAAAAATGTTCATGAAAAAAATCGCCATGTAGTCATCTGCCATAGTTCATTGTTTGTGAAGTCATTGTCTCTCTGGGACCTGCACCGTTTTATATCACATATATAAATTCTTTTTTAATTATTTTTTAGCATCAATAAAAAGTTTATATAGTAACTTAGGGCATGGAGGTTTATATTACATTACATTCTGTAACCTTAAAGGCCCATTATGCATCTGAATTGATATCATTTTTTATTTCTCAAAAGCTTTCCAAATTTGGTGTACTTGTATAATATCATTTGCAAATTACCTGAACCAACTTTTTCTATTCATCTATTGCTTTTTTGCAATAAGTACATTCATAGTGAATAAGTATTTCACATGGAAGTCATGTTACATTTTGTTACTTTTGTGACACGTTTTGGTTACAAGCATCTAACATTCTATGAAACCATTATATAAACTTTAAAAAGTTGATGTTTGCTCTTTCTAAAGAAGTAAAAAATTGTTTATTTCTTAGGCATAATGTGCCTTTAATCTCAGCTCACATAACAAATGATAACATACATGCATGTTAAAGGGAGACAACCAAGTGTTACAGTCATATTTTTCCTTTTAAGAGTTATTGTACTTCGTAGTCCGCGAAGTGTGAATAAAACTGCAGTTAAGGCTACCTCTGACCTATTGTGTCAATTTGTAGATAATGATTTTCATAACCCTGTAACAGTGTAAGTATAGTTTATGATCGGGAAGAGGACCAATATTTTAATTGCTAGTATTTGTGATCGAGTAGAGAACCACTAGAATTATGCTACTTGTCAAGTGCTAGTTCTGAAGTACAGAACCACTAGATTCATGCGACATGTCCAAGTCCTTGTGATCGAGTAAAAAACCACTATTCTTATGCTACATTTCAAGTTCTAGTATTTGTGATAGAGTAGAGAACCACTTGATTTATGTTAATATTCAAGTTCGAGCACAGAACCACTATATTTTAAATGCTATTTGTCACGTGCTAGTATTTGTGATAGAGTAGAGAACCACTAGATTTATGCTACATGTCAAGCGCTAGTACTTGTTTTCGAATAGAGAACCACTAGAAAAATGTTGCATGTCAAGAGTAGAGGTGGGTCCACCGAACTGATTCTCCTGGATAACACAAGTTATTACAAATTTCTACCCAATTGATTGACTAGAAATTTCACATGATTACTGAATCAGTTATGAGAGAAAAATGACCATTAGATTCAATGTCCAAGATAATTATGACAGTAATACTTTTATATTTGTCTCTTTATATTAAGAAAGAAAGAAAAACAAATTAAGAATATAATTTCAATTTCTTTTTATTTAATAACAGGGCAAGAGTAAAAATTCTGAATTTATATCAATTTAACAAACAATGAACAACAATTTAACAAAGCAATCAACTATCTCAAAATAAGAGATGAAAAAGTTTCCAGCAATAAAATAGTAAAGTTTCATTTACCACCTTCATAAGTTCAACTATTTTGAGATAGTAAATTATTATAAAAAAATTATCATTCCATGTAAGAACAAGATACCCCGTATGGTATTTTTACAAAAAAAATCTGATGAAAGAAAAACCCACTCACAACAAAATAACAGTTACAAATAATGTGAAAGCACAATTTTCCATGATTTTGTTTTGACAGTTAATGATGAATTGTCAATAAAATAAGATCAGTCTTTTCTCTCTCTCTCTCATCCTTTCAGGACAAGGTAAGGTCTGTCCAAATAGGAATAATTATTTCGCATTGAAGTTGGTAAACTGAAAGATTTTTTATATGAAAATATGCAATAAAACATGCAATTAAAGCATTAACCTGCCAAACAAATTGTTCTAAAATTGATAAATTCTTGAAAAACATAACAGACTGAAAGATTTCTGATAAATTCTGTACAAAAAAACCCAACATCTTTTACATTGAAAGTGTGTTGTAATTCAAAAAGAAATATACAAATATAGAAAATACAAGGAAATGAAAGACAATGGTAAGGAAAAATGTTGGTGTTTTTTTGTTGCTGTTGTTTTTTTCTTCCAAGTTTTATGTCAGAAACATTTTTCAGTGCAGCTATTGACCTTTGATATCTATATCTCACAATAAGCTTGAGCAATGGAGAAAATGCTGCTTTCCACTTTTACTTCTAATTTATCCACTTATAACTTGCAATTAGTGATAATACATTTTTCAGGAGACCAGCCACGTACAATTTCATCAATCTTTTATAAATCGAATAATAAATTCATACTCATTAATTATTCAGTGTTATTTAAATTAATACCTAAATCTTGCCAATATTAATTCATAGTGTTTCTTAAATTTCTTCTAAAAGCCAATCAGATATACCGCTCAAATGCATATTAAAATAGTAATGAAAAAATCAACAACAAATATTTCACTGAGATTTTAGTAATTTGCATAGCTATTCAGTAACTAGTGTCTTTTATTCTTCCTTATCTGTTGCTGCACATATCCCACTATAGATTCTTTGAGGTCAAGGTCATCAACTTCCTGCAATATCATATCAAAATATATAAAGTTTCTATACATTACACCAGTTATATAAATTTCAGCATATAAATTACCATAGGAACCTGAAGATAACAAAATTTAACCCAAAGTCCAAATATTTTCACAAACCCAATAAATATGTATCTATTATATGATGATTATACACATTTTTAGGGAATGTAACTATAATGCACATGATTGAATGTGGTATGTGAACATAATACACATGATTGAATGTGGTATGTAACCCTAATGCACATGATTGAATGGGGTATGTGACCCTAATGCACATGATTGAACAGGGTATGGGACCATAATTATAATACACATGATTGAATAGGGTATGTGACCATAATACACATGATTGAATGGGGTATGGGACCATAATACACATGATTGAATGGGGTATGGTACCATAATACACATGATTGAATGGGGTATGGGACCATAATGCACATGATTGAAATGGGGTATATGACCATAATACACATGATTGAATGGGGTATGGGACCATAATACACATGATTGAATGGGATATGGTACCATAATATACATGATTGAATTGGGTAGGGGGACCATAATACACATGACTGAATAGGGTATGGGACCATAATACACATGATTGAATTGGGTATGGGACCCTTTTACACATGTATGGGGTATGTGACCTTGGACCCAAAAAATCTAACCCTAACAATTTCGAATGTCTAATAGTTTTTTAATAAAAACAGATCTTCTGTATTATTCAGGCCACTATTTCTTTACAAAATAACCTATTTTTCAAGCTTTACATGTTTCGGTCACCTCTAAATGGCTGACCTTGAAATGAAAGCCTTGTAATGTAAAATTTACAGATTGCAGTTGCTGACGATAAGTTTTGATATGCGGCCCTTTAAAACTACAATGGACGCTTAAAATATCTAACATGGGGTCCATAGATCACAAGAAATTTTAGGGAAAACCCTTACACATACATTTTCAATTACAATTTCTGTGACTGGAAAATACATGTAGGTGAAAAATTGCGGCCAATTTATTTATCATATTTGTAACTATAGGTTTAAGCAAAGAAGTTAAAGAATTAAGCTATAAGCTTATTCACACACACTGTAATGTTGGTTCCTGGAATCAACAAGATCTAACATACCCTGTAAAGTTTCATGCTCAAGGAAACAATGGCTTGCCCTGTGACAGAATTTAAACCCAAGTGGCCAGCAATCCTTAGATTACTAGTCTAAGCTGTCTAACACAGTAACCACCTGGCGACAGTGCCACTTTTTACCTTCAAGAAGTCCTCTTCTGTACCATACCCACAGAGATAACCATTTAATCTACAAGCAGCTTTTGATGTGATAAGCTCTTCATCTGTAAGGTCAAGACGGTCCAACACCTTAGAATGGCGACGTAGTATATATTTCTGGTGGTAGCTGTAATTAAGAACAAAATGCTTAATATCTTATTTAGGTTGCATTTTCTTTTATAATAAGCATCAAATATGACCCGTTAAATAAACTTGTTTTCCATATTCCCAGCAGCTTTAACAAAATTGAACTGTTTCAACGTCTGTGAAAAGTTTAACTGTTTTGATTTGTTTCAAGAAATTACAGGCTTTATAATTTTATACACAAAAACTACATGTACATGTGTAGCTTAATAAGTTGTTTCAAGTTCTTGAAAGTTCTCAAATTTCACAAATGCCACATATTATTTTCCCCAATTTAAGTCAGGGGCCTCAAATAGCTATAAAAGGCCCTGGAAATGTAAAATATCGTCACAATTATGATTCACCGTAAAATGCCCTTACTCTTCAGCATTGTAGAAAGGTCCAGCCTTCTGCATAACTGTGACAATTGGGCGAGCTATATGTTTTTGGTGCTCTATTTTTGTTTTTTCTGCAAGTTTCTGCTGTGTTTCATCGTGATAAAAGATGGCCGACATGTACTGTCTACTGTGGCTGGAGGTCGGGTCGTGCCATTTCCAGAACAGGTTAAGCAAGGTCTCAAAATTGGTTTTGTGCGGGTTGAACTCAATGTCTATCGTCTCTGCATGGTCCCCACTATAAAAAAAAAATTAAAAATGATTCAACTTTTATTCGTCATAATTATGGTCCAAACAAACTAATACAGGTGACCAAATTGCCAAATACCAATAAAGTTTTGATTTTGAACAAGTTTTATAAAAATGACCCAAACTTTTTGGTAGTTGAAAATGTAAAAGCCTAAATTCAAAAATACAATAATTATCCTAAATTTCTTATTTAAAAAACCAAGTATCTTGTTCTTTAATGTTAGAAAATACATTCTTAATGGACTTAATAGCAAACAAACAAACAAAAACAGCTTAAGGAATTATAATAACATCTTATATTAAACACATGTATTATTATAGAGAAGTACATGTATGCAAATGGTTTATATAACAACGAAACCAAGCAATGTCAGGTTTTTTAAAAAACACATGAATTAGGCATAGAATTAGACCAAAATTGACCCATTATAAAACTGAGAGTTATCACTCACATCCTTCTGTATGTTGGATCGGGTGTAGATCCGCCAGAGAATCCGACACGAGTTCTAACCACCCCCGGGACACAGCCAAACTGTGCCTCGGGGAACCAAAATCAACTCATCGCAAATGTTGCCCGTCTTACAATACCACCTGGCATTCTTTTAATGTTATCTAAAAGAAAGAAATAACTACAGATAAATGGTATGAAAGGTGAGATAAACAAGCAAATTCGTTGAATTTATATCCCCACGCCGAGTACTGGTTATTATTAACACAACAACTGAAGACATAAGGCTTTATTTATATATTAATCATGGCATAAACAGTAATATTCTTTGAACTTGATAAATATTCAGGGAAATAACAGAGCCATAACTTTGTGTTAAATAGTAAAATCTGGAAATGCCAATGAGATGTATGCATACTACATAACTAATCAAGGGCCATAAATCTGAGTTATAAGTATCTGACTGGAACAAGGCGACTATATGCACATCTCCTCTTAGTATCCCATAAAGTTTCATTGAATTCCAGCCGGTGGTAGCAGAGAAATAGCGAGGAAACAAATATTTTTCTATATGGATACTGCATAACTAATCAAGGGCCATAACTCTTGAGTTAAAGTGTCTGACCGGAACAAGCCGATGATATGCGCATCTCCTCTTGGTATTGAAGGTTCCCATAAAGTTTTGTTGAATTCCAGCCAGTAGTTGCAGAGAAGTAGCGCGGAAACGATTTTTACTCTATATGCATACTACATAACTAATCAAGGGCCATAACTCTGAGTTAAAGGGTCTGACTGGAACAAGCCGACGATATGCGCATCTCCTCTTGATATTGATGATTCCCATAAAGTTTCGTTGAATTCCAGCCAGTAGTTGCAGAGAACTACTCCGGAAACAAAATTCGGACGGACGGACAGACGGATGGACGGACGGTCAGATGCGCATCTCCTCTTGATATTGATGATTCCCGTAAAGTTTCGTTGAATTCCAGCCAGTAGTTGCAGAGAACTACTCCGGAAACGAAATTCGGACGGACGGACGGACAACGCCAAAACTATATCCCCCTCCCGATTCCATCGGCGGGGGATAACAAATTAGGCATGTAATATTATAACACTTACTTGTACAGCTCTATGTATAATAATGCTCAAATTTCATGTTCTAAAAGAATGAATCAGTGATTATTACTATACTCTATATATATAGTCTCTTTTGAAATGTAAAATAACACTTACTGGCAATCACAGTATAATTATATTGTCACTAAAAAAATGGCAGTTTTTATAAGAATAGACCTAATAGATTTGACAAGTGATAAGAAATGTAGCTTCTCAAACATAGTTTATACAGTCATTTACTTAATCACATTAGACATATTCAGGAAGAATTAACTAGATTTCAATAGATTTCTGTAATAATAGTATTTTACCCAAAGATGAGCATAGTATATAATATATATCTTTAATGGATAAACATATTTATGATTAAACTAAAGATTCATGTCTAGTAATTCAATAACAGACATGTAGTTTTATTTTATTTCAATTTGAAATATCTCTTTTCTACTGGTGTAATATTAACAAAGTCTGAAACATAATTAAGAAGGATGACAGAACATTTCACCAAAACATGTGATAACTTAAATGGGTCAAAAGGGATTTTCAGCTGCATATTGGGGCTCAACCTGTGTTTGGTCTTTTCATTTCCTAGACATTTCTGCCCTGTTTTTTTTGGCTACCATCTTCAATATAGTGTTCTCTCTCTATTTTGGGGGAGAATTGTCCGCATACCGGTATGTGCAGACTGTTCCAATGCATATTTTTTTCTTATATAAGATTAATATTCACTTACATAATTATTAATTTATACATGTAATATATAAATTGGAAAAAGAATCTTTTAAGCAGAATAATATACTATACTATTCACTATGATTTACACATTGAATGATTAAGAACATTTTTTTTAAATTAATACTATTTTTAAACTTAATTACATAAACTGTCATATATCAGAACATATTTTTACCACTTAAATACTCACTATTTATACAAACCAATATAGACTTGATAAATTTATGCCTAGGTCACAAATGAAATGGGCACTGCCCAATGTAAAGATTTTAACAGCATCGGCAGCTTTGACAATTTCGTGGACACAGTTCAATTTTAAATTTGATACCTTGCGGTTTTAAATTAAAATTTTTTATTTTAAGTTTGATACCTTGCGTGGTCATGAATGAAATGGTGCCGGGCAATTTTTTGCTGAATTCATTTTACAGAAAGCATTCAAAGGATCGTGCAGTCACCGTCTGATTTCTGGATGGCGCCTGTGTGATTCATAAATGGATCAGGCAGTCACTGTGCGGGCGCTGTGGGTTACAAGCTTGACATTTAATGATATTCTTTTAGAAATCAGTCAGTTGTCAATATGCAAGCAAAGGAAGTTGCTAGAGGCATAGATAATCCTCTGCAGCCATGGCTTCACCCACACAAATCTTTTCCTACAACCACTTCTGTGTTGACTCTCGTCATAAAAAGCTGCTGCAACAATTATATTTTGCCTTTGCCTTAAGAATAATCCGCATAAACGTTCTTGCTCGACAAGAAATTTCATGTTAAATCCAAAGGAATTAACAAAATGATTTTTTTGAGCCAATTAAAACAAGTTTATAAAGTGAAACCGGAATTACAAACAAACTCAAGCAGCCTGGTCCCCAGATGGCAACAAGACAGAATGACCACATGGTGCCTGTCCATGAATCGTCCAGTTGCAATGGGGTCTATTCGGGAGCTGTGTGTGGCCCAGGCAATGTTCTTCAGGGTGCCTTTAAAATTGAATGGTGTTTTTTTGTATCACAATCAGCCAATCCAAAAAACATTGCATGGGTACTGCTCGATGATTTTAAAAAACATTGCCTGGGTACTGCCTGATGATTTTAACTCTCTGACCCAAAAAATTATTCCCCAGATGCCGAAAGCTTCAAGTTGTACAGCTCCTGCTTGATAAGCAAAATTTTCAGCTGATGCCATTCAATTGGCACAGCCGCCGTAACGAACGCTGTGCATTATTGGAGAAACAAACACTGCCTGGAGGCTGTTTGTTATTTGTAACTGTGTCGTTATCACTAAACCTTAAGGCCCTGTCACACTAGACTGCACTTTCACTGTGTTGGCACTGCGTTGGCATGGCGTTGTTAAATTTATTAAAGAGCCGGGAGATCGCAATAAAAAAAAAATATTTTTGATGACATGGAGACTTCAAGGCATCTTCACGGCGTCCTCACAGCGTTTCAGGGTTGTTTGTACGGGCTTAAAACGAATTTAAAATTTTATCCGTTTTACCCTGCTTTTAACTACATTTTCTACTAATTTCTTTGCACTTCCTCTGCGTTTGGCAGCATGGTAGAGACGCCGCTTAATCTCTGTACAAGCCATGCTAACCACCACGATCATTTGGCATTCCTTTTGCTCTTTCATGGCACTCCTGTTGTGTTATATAAGCTCCCATCCCACTGTGCTTGTATGAGAACGCCAAGTGATGACTTTTGTTTTCAGCATGATCAAAATGCGCGCAGTTGGTCGGCGTTCTACAGTGATCAATGCAATGCCAGTATGATGCTGTGACGTTGCTGCGACATTGTCTGTGATCTGTCTGTGCTCACTTCCGTGTTCTGAATTTTCTTTGGGCGCCAAGAGGCCACTGCCCAAGTGTGACAGGGGTTTTAATGATAATTACAGGTGTTCATCAATTATCTGAGACTGATTATATTCTTCTAAGGTGTTCTTCTCACCCCACAACTTTAACAGTGTTTAATCAGTTTATCATTCACAATTATGAAATGTTGATTGGATTAAATACCTGAAAAAAGGTGTGAAAAAAGTATAAAACATAGTAAAGATTAGAGTCAACGAAAATTACGAGAAACAAGAAGTACCAGTTAAAATACCTTTCTTTTCTTTTTGGAAAATAAATATTAACTCTTATGTAACTCTTGGACGTTTATTTCCAAAAGCGCCTACCGACTTTTGACAAGCTCCAAGCGTCTACTAACAAAACATTTAAATACCAGAAAGAGTACTAATGTACCGGCAATAAAAGTTTGACTATAAAGTTTAATATCTTATAAATTTCATTTTTTAATATTTTTTATAGATAACTTTATAGAATATTGTTGATATATTTGCCTTTTCTTCTTTTCTAGTCTTCCGCATAACTAAAAACTGCTTAAAACACCACCATACTTTTGGTGGTTTTGAAATCTTTGGGTTTAACAAATGTCAAACTTCCTGGACAGAACTGTCAAAAAGTTTTTGCCCAAAACAAATACATTTATGCCTTATTGCGACAAAAGAAGTTTCGTGTAACAACTTAAGTAGATACATAAGAAGATTTTTAAGACAATGCAAGTATTCTCATTATTGCACTTGACATTTTACACAGACGTTTTTTTTTTTTAGCTCAAAACCGGTACCACTAAAATACGCAACGGAGATTTTTTGACGCAACGGACGCAACGGGCGCAACGGAGATATTTTTTTAGAAAAACCGGCACAACGCCTTTTTTTAAAGTCAATGTGCTATATTTAAGCATCTAAAATGATTGTTTAGCACTATTAAGTAAGTATGTTTTAAAATGTTTCATAAATTGTATGTTTAATTGCACTGAAGGGTTATATGCCTGGCGAAATGGAAATTTCATGGCGCAACGGAGATATTGTTTAGAAAAAAACCGACACAACGCCTTTTTTTAAAGTCAATATGTTATATTTGAGCATCTAAAATGATTGTTTAGCACTTTTAAGTAAGCATGTTTTAAAATGTTTCATAAATTGTATATGTTTACACTGAAGGATTATATATGCCTGGCGAAATGGAAATTTCATGGCGCAACGGAGATAATTTTGGAAAATCGGCACAACGTATGTATTAATATATGAAATAAATTAACACCAATGTTATTTGAATAAATAAATTTTAAAAAAAAGATATAAAAACTTTAATCGTATATCAAATAATCAAATAGCTGCAATGTTGATGTTGTACAGGATTGTGTGCCGGCGAAATGGACATTTTGTCTGCGCAACGGAGATTTTTATTTGGCGCAACGGAATTTAAAAAGAAAACAATGTTTGTCCTAATTAAGTAGTAATATGAAGAAGTAAATCATTAAAGATATTAACTGAATTACAGAAGTGTTGTAATAAAAGTCTGTTTTATTAGTTTAAAAATGGAATTAAATACGTTTTTATCGTTATGGCTGACACTGGAAGACAAGTATGGATTTTACAATCTGTTTCATTTTTTTTCCCGTTCAATTCGTTATTTTTTACGAAAAGTATTGTAATAGCTTTTCTATACATAATTTTTAATTGAATTTGCATTAGTATATACTAAATAAAGTCATATGTTGATATTACAGAATCAATGTTCATATTTTTTTTATTATAAACATTCATTGTATTGTTGTTATACGTTTCATTATTAAACTCCGTTGCGCCGATGGATTATTGCGAAACGGAGATTTTATTTTCAAAACTGTGTACTTGTACTGTTTTTTTTTATGTCTAAAACACAAAATAATCATATAAGTTGGTATTGTTGATATTTTATACATATTTTTTACATATACTGTATAAGTTTGAATTTATTAGGTAGAATACTGATTATATCAGATTCTAAATGGACGGCGAAATTGACATAATTTCGGCGCAACGGAAAATGAAGATTTGCATAACGGGTAGACCTTATGTTTGAACATAACTTAAGAATTTGAGAATAATAAGTAACAGTCTTTTAAAAATGATTTACTTTCCTTTATTTTAGAAAATGTTGAAAATAGGATATTGTAAGATATTTAAATTACGGCGAAATGGACACATTTCGGCGCAACGGGGATTATCATAACAATTTTATCAATATTATATTATTTTATTAATTTATTTTCTTTCATTAATCATTGTGTACTTTTTCAATAATTGTTTGTTGTGTTATATATTGTATATTTCATCAAAAGCAATCAAAATATTTCATAATTATGATATTGACAAAAAGGTAATCAATTACGCGAGAATTGTTAGCAATTAGCAATGCATAGGCACGTGTATGGCACGGGTGTTTAATGCTTTTAACAATTGTAATATTTTCGACAATAACAAGTTATAAAAGATATTTAATACCTTAAAGTCAATACATGTTCCTCTTAATCACATTATCTAAATGGTGTGAAAACGCGTGTCCAATAAACATCAACCACGTGTCAGTGGTAATTTAATTATCGGATTAAACCCGTGATAAACATTCTGCCAAATTGCTGTTGTTTCGCTATATAACAGTAGCTGCATTTGGTTTTAACGGGTTTTTTTTTTCTTTTTCTTTTTTTTGAACAGAACATATCTTTTTATTCACCCAGGTACATGAAGATATCATATCGTACAACATGGGGTTATTACGAAATTTACATTAACACAAAATAATACAGTATCCGGTCAATGAGTATTACAATGCTGCAAAATCATGAGAAAAGAGAAAAGAGAAGAAAAAAAATGAAATATAAGTTTTGAAATTTTTTTTCGCTATTTAGAGACACGTGGGTGGCTGGAGACGGGGGAATGCTCACTTTAAATCAACATTAAATAAATACTGATGTCACTCGTTAATTATTTTTTTTGTGAGCCTCGTATGATTATATCGTATGATTATACCATTTATTGTAAATTCCTCATACATGTATTTGCATGTATACATGTATTGAGAGAAATAAAGATTATGTTATGTTATGTTACATGCATGTCATTGATTAAAGTCATTACAATATTTAACGTAAATATAACGTAATACACGGAAAAAAAGAAACAGATTTAAAGACTCATGTTTATCTCGAATATCAGCCATGACGGAAATAAACGTATTTCTTTGTGCAGCAGTAAAGCCATTAAGCAGCGTTTTGTTGAAATTTGATAATTTATTCGTAAGATTACATTAGAAAGTCTACAGCGTATGCACTACGGACTTTTCGTATTCTTCAAGTAAAATTCTGAAAATTATGTATAGAAAAGCTATTACAGTACTTTCGTAAACATAACGAATTGAACGGGAAAAAAATGAAACGGATTGTAAAATCCATCACGGACTTTAATTGACATAATATAAATCCGTGAATCCATACTTGTCTTTCAGTGTCAGGCATAACGATAAAAACGAATTTAATTCCATTTTTAAATTAATAAAAAAGACTTTTATTACACCACTTCAGTAATTCAGTTAATATCTTTAATGATTTACTTCTTCATATTACTACTTAATTAGGATAAACATTGTTTTCTTTTTAAATTCCGTCGCGCCAAATAAAAAATCTCCGTTGCGCAGACAAAATGTCCATTTCGCCGGCACACAAATCCTTTACAACATCAACATTGCAGCTATTTGATTATTTGATATACGATTAAGGTTTTTATATCTTTCTTTTTTTTAAACATTGGTGTTAATTAATTTCATATATTAGTACATACGTTGTGCCGATTTTCCAAAATTATCTCCGTTGCGCCATGAAATTTCCATTTCTCCAGGCATATATAATCCTTCAGTGTAAACATATACAATTTATGAAACATTTTAAAACATGCTTACTTTATAGTATAGTGCTAAACAATCATTTTAGATGCTCAATTATAACATATTGACTTTAAAAAAAAGGCGTTGTGTCGGTTTGTTCTAAAACAATATCTCGCCATGAAATTTCCATTTCGCCAGGCATATAACCTTCAGTGCAATTAAACATATACAATTTATGAAACATTTTAAAACATGCTTACTTAATAGTGCCAAACAATCATTTTAGATGCTTAAATATAGCACATTGACTTTAAAAAAGGCGTTGTGCCGTTTTTCTAAAAAAATATCTCCGTTGCGCCAAAAAATCTCCGTTGCGTATTTTAGTGGTACCCGCTCAAAACTAATTCCCAGTCATTTCGACCCAAGACGTTTCACCCAATAACTATTTACAGAGACATTTCTTGACAGTTCGACTTTTAATTTTTTAATCGTGTTTATCAATTAATTATCTTAAATTTCTATCTTTATTGTCATGATAATTTATACCATTAAAGAATTTAATAATGAACAGATGAACTTTATAAGAGCAGATGAAGGTAATGTAACGATTCGTGACATAACGATTCGCCACAGAGTAATATGGATTCGCCACAGTTAAATAACGATTCGCCACATGTAGAAAATACAAACTATTTCACATCTATATTCAAACTGTCTATGAAACCTTTCTTCCATTTTATATTCCATTATAAAATTACTTAAATTGTTAATGAAAATTGTACTAAAAACCGCTTTTATTGAATAAAAACACATTAATACAAACATATTTTATTACCAAAATTACATAACACAGTGTAAAGAAGTTAACATTCGTTAGTGATAAAACCTGGAGTGGAAAATCATTTTATTGAATAAAAAGGCATTAAAACAAACATATTTAATTTCTAAAATTACAAAACACATTGTAAAATAGTTAGCATTTGTTTATAATAAAACATGGAAAATTATACTAAATTGTTACTTATTCCTGAGGAATTCTGTGTGAAAACCGATGTGTAGCCGCTGATGGGTTTGAATTATAATGTACTATAATTTCTGTCAAAGAGCTCACTTTGAGGCTTTGCCTTATTCATATGAATTCACCATAGTTAAAAAATTATTCTCTGGCAAATTGTTATGTGGCATGATGTATTACCCTGACTATTAATCTGTTAATATGATGTAAACCAGTTAGCTAGTATATATCAGTTAAACATAGAGGGTGCTAAGATTAATTTTCCTTCAGCCACAAGGCTAATAAAGTAATATACAAGGCTGTTATCAGAGCTGTGGCTGCTAGTGTAGGACTGTTATGGTACACCAATATATTGCACTATACTGAACATAGAGGATATTGAATGAGTGTAGGTTTAATACTAAATTTATTGAACGAGTTGAATAAAATCATATTATGCGAGCCTCTGGCGAGCATAATATTTTTTATTCAACGAGTTCAATAAATTTAGTATTGAATCTACACGAATATAATATTCTATTTATCACATATATAAAATAAGAACGGTAAACTGTTAACAAGAGTCATTTTTCTTTGACGCGCCTATAGTGTAACGCTAACATTAGCGCGCTTTAACGCTATGTTTATAGTGCAAATGACGTGACGTCAATGTGTTATTACACTAGTGTAATATCGTCTAGTGTAATATCGTTTTTATTAAATGGCTTTATTACACTCCTGCGCCGCGGTTTATGTGATAAAAATAATTATTGCACTGCTGTTCAAATTTGGTTGTAGGGTTCTATTAAAAATGCGTAATTGGTTGTCTTGATAAAGAAGTGCTAATTTTGTCCAGAGATTTGATCGTTGACCAGGGGAAGATTTGATATAATATTTAAATGTGATTGGATTCCGACAGTGGGTCTGTGAATATTATCAAAATACTATGATACATTTATAACCTGACTAGCATGATATATTTATATTTATAAAATATTTTGTAAAAATGTTATTTCAGTGTCATACAGGATGTAAGAGTGAGCTGAGTTTTGTGTAGGAATTGTCATATACTTGCAGAGATGAGGAAGATGCTTCCTGGTAATTCATTATGAACAGTTACCTTGCTTAAATATTCTGTGATATTGTTTAACCTACATGTATTAACCCTGCTTAATATGTGAAATGGACTGTCCCTGCTTAATTTGGAACATCATTGACTTACAGGGTGACCGGTGTACTCTACCATTAGAACTAATTGCTAAAATTCAAAGGTTTATCAATTTTGCTACAAACATAAAATTTGGCGACAGGATTTCTTGCCTGTATTTTGTTATTTTGATAACGTTTGTATGAATTTAGAAGATAACATATACATGTATTTTGCTAAAAGAAGTTTTAAGACAGGGGATTTAGATACAAAGTTTAAATACAAAAATATATTGAAATTTAGCTGCCAGGTCAGACTGCACACATGTTCAACTATATTAACCAGTGGTTATTTACATACTATACCTTAACTCTCAGTTCTTTAATGTTTATGGATTGATTTATTATTTGTGCATTTAATAGTAGCTACATGTATTTGTTCATGTACTTTATTTTTACTTTGATTTCAGGAATTGGTGTTTTTGGAACCACTCCAAGTATTAGAACATTTGTCGCCATTCTTAATTCCTGTGGTTTTAAGGTGGTTGCATTATGGGGACGTGTAAAGGCGGAAGCAGAACAGTTAGCATCAGAACTTAATATTCCCATCAGTACGGACAATGTTGATGAAATTCTGCTTAACAAGGACGTTGATGTGATAGTAATTAGCTGTCCTCCCCATATGCAGTCTCCAATCGCTGTTAAAGCACTGGGTATCGGAAAGCATGTGTTTTGTGGTACACCGGCAGGTCCAACCCACGTTGAATCTCTGAAAATGGTACACGCAGCAGGGTATTATCCAAAACTTGCCGCAAGAATGATTTACGGACTTCGCTTCCTTCCAACTATCAAAACAATGAAAAAGTTGATTGAGGACGGATTCCTAGGCGAGTTAAAGATCTGCGAGATCAGGGTCCATTATTGGAACTATCCTAAGGAAAAGTTTGATTGGACATGTGACGAGATTATGGGAGGCGGTATTTTAAATTCTATAGGCAGTAATTTGATTGACATAGTCACATATCTTACCTCACAGAAAGCCATAAGTGTTCATGGTATGCTGAAAACCTACACAAAACAAACTGAAAAAATAAAGGGCATAAGGGAGATAACTAGCGACGATTTCTGCTCGTTTCAGTTAGAGCTTGATTATGGGGCTTGTGCAACTGTAACTATCAATTCTCACATGCCTGGTCAGTTTTTTCAGGAAATAATTGTTGTCGGCACAAAAGCAAGGCTAACTGCGAAAGGAGCAGATTTGTACGGGCAGAAAAATGATTCCCGGAAAGAAGAGCTTCTTCATTTTGATCCAATTAACTTCAAGGAAGAAGAGCGGTATGGTGTCTCCGAGAAAACAAGATCGGTAATACCTACGCCATACCTTAAGGGTGTAATACGCATGATGGAAAGCGTGAAGGAAGCTTTCGATAAAGAAGAAGAAAGGCAGAGTTACTGTCAGGAAATGTTAGAGATTGCCGCCACTTTTGAGGATTCGTTGTACGTCCAGACGGTTATTGATGCCATTAAGGCGTCAAACCATAGTAAAGAGTGGGAGAAGGTTGAGGTGAAGATTGATGAGCCGGCACCCAGCCCAATTCTACCCCATGGAGCCAGTAAAACATAAATCTTCAATATATTGTTTAGGAACCAGCAGTATTTATTTTACCATTTGATAAAGTAGTTTGTATTAGACTAAGTATACTTTTTATTGATAGATCTTTTATATTATTTATTTATTGTGTATGTGCGATGAGATATTAGATTACTTTTATTACTTTTATTCTGTTTAAACAGATGCACTAGACACAAAAGGTGAATTTGTTAAGAATGTACCAAAATTTGAAGAATAGAATCCAAAACATAATTTTGAAAAATTAAATTTTGAGTTGAAAGGGCTGTCATTAAGGGACATCTGTAGGCCAACTCAAAATTTTGAAAACACCCTTTGTGATAGAACTTAAATTAACTGCCTCAAATTCAAAACAGACCATCTTAGAAAGTTTTTAATGACAACCCGGAGTTATATATTCACAATCTTTGTGATACTTGACTGAATTTATTATTATTTAATACTATCATCAATAATACATGTATATCTATCTACCGGTAGTTAGTAAGTAAAGGAGTAAGTGCTTTTTTGCAAACTATATGACACATTTTTGTTAATGTATGTGTAGTTTAAGTACATATTGCTAGCTTAGAATACATATTTTATTCAAATACCACTTGTTTGTTAGACACCTTTCAAATATTAATAGCAATGCTTATTTCTTTGAAAATAAATGCAGTTCTTTTTTTTCTAAGAGAAATTAAGTAAATTAAAAACAAGACTGATTCCAGTAAATCTTCGTAATCCGGTTGATTCTGGTATTTCAACAAATTCCGGTTAGTCATGTTACTGGTTTTTGTTTGTTTGACAATGAATTTAGTATTGAAAAAACATTTGTTTGGTGCTTTGAGCTTTGTTGCAAATATTGCTTGATTGTATGTATGGAATGACACCATGGATGTTAGGGTTTATGGAATTATAGTATTTTAACATACATATTATTTGAGATTATCGTTATAATATAATTACCTAAAGATCTTTATTATCATTATATTCAGGTGACCTGTTTAATATTTATATTTATTTTACATATCATTTTCTTTATTAATTAGATGCATAATAGCTTAGTGTATAAAAATTTCATAACCTGTCCAAGTAATCTCTCATAATTTTATTTGATTTGATTTTCGTTTTCAAATATTTTAATAATAAATGACTAAGAGTAAGATAATTAACTTTGAAACAGTGTTCTAAGACTGCAAAAATGAGCCAAATTTTATTAAAAGAGAATATTTTCGAGCTTTGTAATTGGTATGAAATTCATAAATATTTGGCATATTACTGTTATGGAATCCCACAATGTACTTTAATGATGAACTTGCATTTGCCAATATAGGCAAATTTTGTCTGAAGAGGAAGTTTATAGTTTACAAGTATGTGGCTGTATTCATGTGTCACCTCATGCCTTAAGCTCCCTCAGCAGCTTAGTGAATACACTACAATTACTTCACAAGAAAATGAACACTTTACAGTAGTGAAAATATATGACTGATGTACAGGAGAGGAGCTCATATCTAGATTACTGTATTGGAAGCTCGTGTCTAGATTACTGTATTGGAAGCTCGTGTCTAGATTACTGTATTGGAAGCTCATATCTAGATTACTGTATTGGAAGCTCATATCTAGATTACTGTATTGGAAGCTCATATCTAGATTACTGTATTGGAAGCTCATATCTAGATTACTGTATTGGAAGCTCATATCTAGATTACTGTATTGGAAGCTCATATCTAGATTACTGTATTGGAGGAGGCGCTTGGATCTTCCACCAGTATAAGAGGGATAAAATTGGCCATTCTTCCATTTTGCTGCATCACTGGTACTACAAACTTAATTCTTTAGTACTGCATACATGTGAACTTTTTTTGGATGATCAAGTGGGAGATTTTTCTTCAAAAAGAGGGAGATTTTAGAATTTGCAATAAACAAAGAAGGAAGTTCTGACATCAAAAAGAGGGAGATTTCTTTAATTTGTGACAATACCCCTTATTTCAAGAAAAACATTTGAAAATATGGCTGCAGAAAGTGGGAGTTTCCCGCCAAAAGTGGGGTAGTTCAAATGTATGTATAATGTAGCTTGAAAAGAATTTATTTGCAAATTATCAGAGCTTTTGTAATGACCCAATAACCAGGTAAAATCCCCTACACCATCTCATAAGCCATGGGGACACTCTCAGCTATGATCTTTTACTTTTCTTCCTGGCTAAAACTTGCATGTATATATCCACATATTTTAAGAAATCACCATTCTTTTTTCATTTCTTTTAAACATTATGAAACCCCTGAAATATGTAGAATACAGGTATTTGGTAGTTATTTTCATTGATACATTTTTTTGTTTGATTAAATTTTGCTTGATTTTCATATTATGTTAAAGTATTATTGTTAATCCACAAGATAAGTTCTTTTTTATTCTTTTTCATGTATTGAGCTTATTAAGGAAAAAAACAGGGTTACATATGATTTAGTAGTAGAATATATACAACTTTAGGGACAACCTCCATACCTGAAACACATTTATTATATAATTACTCTCTATTTCTTTGTAAATTATTAATACTTTAGATATGTTATTTATGATGTGTGATCATCTTTTGTAAATATTTCCAGAAAAGATTTTGTCATAAGATGTATTAACCTGTAGCCTGCTTACTTTGTGTAATGGATTTGCCCAGCTTTGAATTTGGAACAGTCCATTCCAAGTTAAAGGGTTTTCAGTATAGAATACAAAAATTGAGTAACTAGTAATATAGAGCCTCGTCAGACTACAAGGACATGCAGGCTGGCCTGGCTCAATACTGATGGCAAACAATAATACCATTTCCAGCAGGTTATGGTTAAAACAATGAAACTCTATGGTCTAAATTAAGGAATGATATAAAAGATCATATACATGTTATTTTTAGCTCACCTGTCACAAAGTGACATGGTGAGCTTTTGTGATCGCTTTTATTCGACCGGCGTCCGTCTGTCCGTAAACTTTTACTTTAAACGACATCTCCTCATAAACCACTAAGCCAATTTCATCCAAACTTCACAGGAATGTTCCTTTGGTAGTCAAAAATTGTTCGAAGAATTTAATTCCAAGCAGAGCTAGAGTTTAGATACTAAGCATGAAATTTATCTTCTAGTGAGTGTCTGCCAAGTTTGTTCAAATAAAAGCCCCTGGTTTAAAATTGGCCTTGGCCCAGGGGTCTATATACAGGTGAGCGATTTCAGGGCCATCATGGCCCTCTTATCTTGTTAGCAGTTCTAGTCATTCTATTTGTCATATCTTTTTAGTATAGTTTCATATAGTAGATTTGCAAATGATGGCCAGTGTACATAATTGAAGGTTTTTGTGAGACACAATATTTGTGAATGCAATGTTATTTTGTGCCATGTTGTTTAAATATTACATGATAATTTGAAAGAAAAAAAAATACACAAAAAAACTGAAAACTTCTTATTTTGAAGCAGGTTTTCCATTATTTTTAGCTCGCCTATTCGATAAGAATAAGTAGAGCTATTGTAGTCACCCAAGCGTCGGCGTCTGCGTCGACGTAACCACTTATGTTAAAGTTTTTGTAATAGTTTAAATATTTTCAAAGTCCATTGACATATGGCTTTGAAACTTTGCACACTTGTTCACCATCATGACCCCAACATGTAGGCAGGAGGCTGTAACTCTATCAAGCATTTTGACAGAATTATGCCCCTTTTTCAACTAAGAATTTACGTTAAAGTTTTTGTAATACCTCAAATATTTTCAAAGTCCATTGACATATGGCTTTGAAACTTTGCGCACTTGTTCACCATCATAACCCCCACATGTAGACAGGAGGAGGTAACTCCATCAAGCATTTTGACAGAATTATGCCCCTTTTTGACTTAGAATTTATGTTAAAGTTTTTGTAATACCTCAAATATTTTCAAAGTCCATTGACATATGGCTTTGAAACTTTGCGCACTTGTTCACCATCATAACCCCCACATGTAGACAGGAGGAGGTAACTCTATCAAGCATTTTGACAGAATTATGCCCCTTTTTGACTTAGAATTTATGTTAAAGTTTTTGTAATACCTCAAATATTTTCAAAATTCATTGACATATGGCTTTGAAACATGTTGAAATTTTATACTCTTCTTTGAGAGCATAATAGGACTCTCTCCAAGGCCTATAACTGTAATATGGATTTAAAGAAAAATTTTTCCTTTTTCTTTACTTAGAAAATTTTACCTTTTAATCAAGGCTTTTTTTACTATCAAGCACTAAGAATAGTCGAGCGTTGCTGTCCTACCGACAGCTCTTGTTTATATTGATGAATGAAGGTGAGAGGCTGCACAAAATAGTTTCTTTAGTGCCCAACTTATCAGACACTTCTTAACAGATTTCAACACAGTAGAATGAGCCTCAAAAAGTTCATTGGCACATGTCATAGGAATTTTATAAATTAATTATTATTGGCTTTTTGTTGTCAGTTTTTGTTGTTGTTTTTTTTCCCCCACAAATATAAAATATTGGCTGTAAACCAGATTTTGTGACAAAAAAATTCCAGTCACTTTTGTTTTGTTCTTTATGTAGTGTATAGAATCTTCTGTTTTTATGTGATTGATAATTCTTAAGAACTGTGCTCTAGAATTAATTATCTAAGTAAACATTCTAGAATATTGAATCTTTATTCAAGTATTTAGAATGCTGGAATTCCATTATTTTGTGAGTCAGAATTCCTAAATGTCAGTATTAGAGTTCTTAGATGTCTATTTTTAGCACAAGAATCTATTTTTAGCTATGGAATTCCAATATTACATACTTATAGACAATTTAAGTGCAAGGTGTGTGTTTATTGTAATGTTTTACTTTATCCTGTCATTCAGAAAACTGTATGTGCCATATTTGTGAAACCTTTACCTGTAAATGGGTTAGTGTTTTTATATGTGGTGCCACGAAAAAAAATTTTGTCTTCTGAACATTGAGTAATTACACATATATCTTTTACTATTGCTTTAAATTTTGCAGATTTATACTAGCCATTGTAAAGAAGCAATGTTCTCAGTTTTCATATGAAACTGAGTTCTAAGTACCCACATATACACAAATTTGTTCATAATATAGACACAGTGTTTCTTTTCATTTAGTAGATTATTATGTAAAGTTGCAATATTTTCACCTTTTTTGGGGTATTTTAAAATATAGCAACAAGTTAACTTTTCTTTTTAGTATTAAACAGCTGCAAAATAAATTCTGACATTTTATCATGTTATAGTGTTAAGAGGCCTCCATTTAAACATTTAGGTTCAGTTAAACCCACAAAATAGTCTTTAGAAGTTATCTCCTATTTTGGGCATTTTGAATATAGGTTATACCAACAATGTTTAATTTGCTTTATTTGGGCAAATGACTTTGACTTATTAAAAATAACCTCAAGTTTTATTTCTTCAAAATTTTGTTATTTAGCCATACTAAAGTAACGCATTGACCCTTAAAACACCTTTACTTTCTCGGGCAAATTTCTTAAATTAAGAAAATTTCATCTTTTTATTTTGAAGATCAATAACAATAAGGATTTCTGTTTTGCAAGCGCATCTTATAAGTTATTTTTGAATCCTGTTAAAATGGCACTAAATTTAACCAAAACAATGCATTACAACATACCACTGAAAAATCAAACTATTTAAAACATCTAAGTAGAATTGCAATAAAGATACTATCTTTACCAATGCTTGTAGTTTAGAATTTTTTACAATCATCTCCGTTCAATGACTTTTATATTATGACATTTTACAATTAAATACCTCTTTATTTTCATCTGCATGTATTTGTATAGATAATACCAGTGTGTTGTGCTTATTCTTTAAATTTTGCTTTTTTGTTTTCTTTTATCATAATCTTGATATCCAGTTCTGTTATCTGTTTATTATATATCTATGTTATTTATACTGTTGCTTTAAACTTGCTGATATATATTATTATAGCTATGGCAAAGACATATTGTGCTCAGTTTTCTTATAATAAAGTTTTAATGAGTTTATACACAGTACCCATATGTCACAGTTCAGAACTGTTCACTGTTTAGAGGAGAGGCTGTGTAATCGGCCTGACAGCTCAGTTGGTTGAGCTGCAGAATGGTACTCCGAGGGTCCTGGGTTAGAGTCCTTGTCAGGCTGCACATTTTTCTCACCCTGACATTTGGGGCCGAAAGGGGGACCGTGACTGAATATAGCTCAGAGTTAAATTCTCATTGCTCTGTAACCCTGATTTTAAGGTTGAATTTCAATATAGCTGGGGAGTATGTTACGGTTCAGGACTATTTACTATTCAGGGAGAATGTGTAAGCTCAGTTGGTAGAGCCGCGGAACAGAGTATTCCTAGGGAGTTCCGGTCAGGCTGCACATTTTTCTCATCCTGTGACATGTATACACAGGAATTTTTCATAGTGTAGACATGTAAGATTTAAAAGCCAAATAAATGCTACATAGTCATTACTCTTTAATGAACTTTGTATTATAATTATTATTTGCAGTATGGCATAAATAATCTTCCAGTTTGGGTCACAGATCTGATGAGGAATAACATGGAAAATTATATAGCCTCTTTCCATGAGATTAATGAAGAGCTTTTTCGTGGCCAAGTTGTTAAGGATTCAGACTTAAAATAATGTAGCCCCTCAATTGGGGTGGGTTCAAATCCCACTTAAGTCTTTAGTTTTGTTCATGTGAGGAAGCTTGATTAAGGTAACTTATGGAGGGATGATTGTTCTACTTTGGGGCTTGCTTGTGTTTGAAATATTGTCAAAACACACAAGATATTTTATCTACTTGTTATGCTGGGAACAATTTCTAGGTATTTAGTTGATATATTTTAAAGCTGCATTAAATAAATATGTAAAAATATTTTGCCGTCGGCCTAAAAACCCAATCATTCTACAGTGTCATTAACCTTTTAAACAGTATTGTTGCAAACAGAAATTGTACTTCCGTTTTCGCCACAATTAGGTTGCAGATTTATGTGCTTATAAAACTCATTTTGGTTGTCTGGACACCAAAATAAGATGAAACCCAGTTTATTAATGAAATATCGCTATTTCTGTTTTTATGAAATTTATTAAGTTTAAGCTTCTGATAATAAAAGAATCTGGTAAGAAGTTGCACTCAAAAATAACACAAGGAGCACATGTGTATTTTTCATCAAGTTCTTAATGATATTCACTGTATGCCTTCATTTTTTTGGTCCTTTTGTTATAATTTTAATGAATGTAAATTGAATGTATTGATTAGAAATAGATAACTGTATACAAGTTTGAATCAAGATTGAGAGGTCACTTATAGTCAGATCTGATATTTCCACTTTTCCGTCTAAAATAAAATACTGAAAATGTTAACTTTTGTTTGTTTTCTATGCCGCCAGCATATTGTAATTGAATCTGACGGGATGTCTGTCTTAACATGCCCAGTAAACACAAGAGGGTTAAACTTTTCTCAGTTTGACGTATCAAGGTTCATTCCTGACAAATCCCTTGACAGGCTACATAAACATGATATTTTCCTCCAATTATCTCTCTTTTATTTTGGCACATTTGAATTAGGTTTTGTTAACCTGTTTTGGACATACATGTATCTTAGTTCTATCTGTATCAAATGTTTCATGCTATACACACTAAATGGTATAAAAGCCATGATACTTGACATTATAATCACTTTCTACTTGTATCAATATAGTGTATAAGTTATATATAACATCAGACCCTGGATCCAAGAGCAGCAATATAAAATCTCAAGAAACTTGATTAAGAAAAACAAGGTAGATAAACAACATTTTTTTATTTTCTATAAAAAATCATAAAAAAAACCAGAATATAACAAGACAGCCAAACTTAATCAACAGAAAGGTAGGTTGGAATCTCAAGATTGGGTCCCATCAGGCTATGAGGACAACATCTGGATTGCACAGTCTGCAATGACGGGTCCACATCTCAGCAACAAGTCCTTAAAAATAAATGTTAAATATACAAAATTGATGTATATGTAATCAAAGTGACATTTAAACTATAGCACCATACATATGTATAAAATAATAAGATATTAAATGTTGAACCTAACTAAGTCAAAACTCTTATCATGTTAACTCGGTGCTGGTAGCATCTTTTGCCTGTGCTTTATTTATTCATAAATTGACCACAGCCATGTATATAAAACTTAAAAGTACTGCATGTTTGTTTTTCATTGGATAATTGTGACGTTTATATAGATTCATATACATGTCTGCTTTCAATTTATGAAGAAATCTCACTTTTTTTCTCTAAAAAAGATGCTTGCTGTATTATAAATTTGTTATAAAATATTTCTGACAGGTTATCTCCGTATATAAACAGTTGTTTGCAATATAAGCCTCACCTAGCTAGAGGTATATAGTGCCGTATATCCAGTCAAAATTCTTTATATCTAATAGCATAAATGGTTGCAAGCTTAAATGACCACTGGCAAACACTTTTTATACACAGCCATATAACCTGTCAAAAGTTATAACAAATCTATAAAAGTGTATGATTGCTTTAATTGTGAAAATGAAAATAAATTCGCTGATTGTATAAAGATAATATAAACATCATGATTATCCAATGAAAACCAATGTTTATAGCAAACAGTATTATAATTATGTAATATTAGTTATACAGATTTTTACAGGTCATATACACTCAGGTTATATGGTCCAATTTAAATGGTTGCAGAATGATATATGACATATTAAATATGACCTAAGCTGCCTACTGTTAAAAGAACAACAACAGTTATCCAGGCCCATAAAACAATATCGTTAAACCTTTTCAAAAGAATAATAGGTTTTTACCTTGTCAACTTTCCTCAAATGGACTTTTGCAATTGACTGTATAAGTTGGACGGCAAACAAATCTAAACTCTGCATATCATGTGACTGCATCTGCTGAATACATAATACAGTTATACAATTTGTGTATGACTGACAATAATAGCAATACTAAATTTGTTGAATAATAAAAACCTGGCATTCACTCTTATCACTCTATCTGTAATTTTAATGACTAAATTTGAAGACAACAAAATTTTCCCTGGTATAGGCACACTCCCCATCCCCCCATTTTTCATTTTATAAGGCAAATGTCTACCCTACCTGACCTTAACAACTAAAGGATTTGTAAAAAGACTGCAAATGTATCAATATGGCCATGAGCCGCATCAGCCCATGAGCAACATCAGTAAAAGCCTACTAGGCAATGAATGCTACATGCCAAATATGTATCTAGACTCTAAGCAGAATTGTTTCACAAAAGAAAAGATTAATTAAGTCTATATAAACTAAAGCAGTGTAGGGATAAAGCAAATTTTGATTCAAGGGGTACAGTTTCAAATACTGTGTAGAGGGCTAGAAAGTTATGCTACATGTGAAATATCTAAGCTATGAGCATTAAAAGATTTCAGCAGATACCTACAATATTGATAATTCAAGGTAACAAGTGATCGTGGGTGGAGTTAATTTCGACTCAAGGGGCCATAATTCATACAACTTTTCTACAAGTAAGAGGTTTACTGGGCAATGTTTCATGCTAAATGTAGAAGCTCATGACATAAAATATAAATCTTACATTATTTTCAATGTCATTATGACCCCTGCCCTCTTCTAACATTTCCAAACAGTTTGAGTATGATTTCAGAATCCCTGTCAGAAATATGTCCTCTAATATGTCTCCTTTTTCTATGAACTTTTGGTGCGCAGCAAAATACCTGTGAAGACAAAAAGATTTAAAATATTTTCATATTTTAGTTGCTGTTACCAGTAAAGATTTATCTAAGTTTATCCTACAAGTTTAATATCAAAGTCTCATATTTGAGCAGTCTGTACATTGCTGTCTGTTTTCTTGCACAGGATTATCAGACAGGATTATCTACTGTTTATACTGGTGCTAGAAAAACCTGTCTTACACCCCAATGTAAGACAAGTTGCGTATTGTAAATGATGTCATTCCCACGCGCCTTTTATGAATGAACTAAGTTTTTAAGATAACGTCATTGTGTCGTTATGAATGATGTTGAAAATACATATGCTACTATAAGAAAAATGTACTAAATGAAAATATTAGTTTTCATAATATCATTAGTTTGTAATATTCAAGAAAAAAGAATCAAACACCAGCTGGTGTCACAGACAGGAGTACATAGCTCTCAGGTAACTGTTAAGTAGAAACTCGGCATAGTCCTCGTTATGGATGTAAACATTACCCTCAAGCTAAATATTCCGGTCAGTATTGTCAGCTAGTGTAAGATCCTTATACCATTTGCTATTCAGATTTACATAGCTTTTCTTATTTAGAAACCCTAAATTTTAATAATGGAAAGTTCAAAACTCACAAAGTTTAACAAGACAGGTTCATTACATGACTTTAACAGGGTAAGAAAAAACAATCATACCTCACAATGGTAACATTCATTAGCCTCTCCAGCTTTGTATTAACACACGAGGCAATAGCTTCATCAACACGATCTACAAAACACATCTTCGTCAAATATCTCCCTTCCCTCCAATGCAATACTACTGACAATAAATCTTTTAGCTTTTCTCTTTCACAATTTACCTGAAATCAAAGTCAGATCTTTTAAAAGCATGCTATATCAAAATTTGACAAAACATGTGGATATATTTTACACTTCATATAAAACAAAAACTTCCAGATTTATTTTCTTGTTTTTCTAGGTAAACATGGTTTCTTTTTAATCATACTGTTACTGTGTTATTTTTAGTTTTATTGTGAATAGAGAAAAATGACACCCCAAGACTTTGCTCTGTGTATGTTCTCTAACAGAATATATTAGAAATTCAAGGGAGCATAAATATTGAGGATAAATCTTGAAAGCTTTACCTTTGGTACCTCAAAATGTTCTATATACGCTAACTGCAGAAACAACATTTGAACAAAACAGGTCAATACCTACAAAGAGGGAAAAATTATTCTGTAAATACAAAAGTTTTGCACAACATTGGATCTTCTTATCTGTTGCCTTTTATCTACATATATCATGTATACCATTTGCAGTTCGATTTCTATATAATCTTTAAAGGTGCAATGATGTAGTCAAATCTGTAATATGTGATTTTGTAATACAGTCAGCCATTTGTGACATATCATAAAACATTTTTATAGCTGTGAAAAACGATGTAAAACTTCATTTTCTTCCATCAAAGTAGAAATTGTTTTTGTTTTTTTATATATTTACACATTATTCAAATTCAGTGAACATTCATATATAAGCATTCTTCAATTATAGTAAAGGGACTCTGTGAGAATATATTTCCAAGATTTGTGTACCATTTGATAAGATCTGAACAAGTAACCTGTGGGCACAATTTTAGAACATTCGCTTCTGTTTTTTCAGAATGATCATTTTTGTTGTGCAAAACGACTATACCAAAATCATTTTAAGAATCTCATTATTTAATAATCAATTTTCAACATAATTTTGAGTATATTTCTATTGATCAATTTCAAACATTACAATTTTTTATTTTGGGGTTTTGGACCTCAGTCCTTTAAATTCATGTACTTATAAAAATGTCCCAGGCAAATACACTTTTTATTTTCACACAATTACAGTTCCAGCAATAAAAGGGTAAATTAATTGTTCGGACTGTATTTTATTGTATAAACTTCATTTTTACCTTGACTTGATGGACAATATCAGACCCTGTATCAAGATAGTCTTTTAGAATGGATCCTTCATCACTGAAATATAGATCAACAGTAATGTTTTTTGCATAAAAAATTTGTATCAAAAGCATATAAGAAAATTATATGTCTATATATATACAATGTATCAAGTTCCTGCAAATTGTTAGTTACTCAAATAAATATCAATAAAACCTAACAAGATAAGATGTATCCTCAAACATAAATGCCCATGTCTTAAAGCTGTAAATAAATAAAATTATGTTGAAATTTTCTGAATTTCAAAATTTCACCTTAAATTCAATGTTTTTTATTGGTCGAACTCATATTTCAGAATTTACATATCTAGCATCATTTCAACAGAGAAACTGGCCATAATTCTAAAAATTATAATTATCAAATAACAAAATTGTGTGAGAACATTTTATGGCAATCATTCTGTGAAAATTACACTGAAAATGTTTAAAAATGCATGAGTCACACATGGAAGGAATTGCCTAATCTTACCTGTCCCCACACAGTCATTAATCTAACAAGAGCCATGTCAACATGGCCATCCCCCGCCGAATGTGTTTGCTCATTGGAAGAATGTATATGTAGAAAAGAATAATTCTATTTTAAGAGGTCTTTTGGTAATGAAAACTGATGGCTATAGTGATTACAGATTTGAAACCTATGTGAATACTGATGGCTGAAAATAACAAAGGGCAATAACTGAAAAATAATGCAGGGTAGGTTATCATTCTTGTGTGCTGCATCCCTCCTAAGTAAAATCTATCCACCTATGAAGTTTCAAGTTGATACCTCAAATACTTTTTGAGAAAAAAATTGAATTGAAAAATTAAGTATGAAAAATAACAAAGGGCAATAACTCAAAAATTATAAAAGGTAGAGTTATCATTCTTGTGCACTGCACACCTCCTGAGTTAGATCTATGCAACTATGAAGTTTCATAATGATATCTCAAAGGCCTTTTGAGTTATGCTCTGGAAAAAAATTAATTTTGAAAAATAAAAAAAGGGCAATAACTAAACAATTATGCAGGGTAGAGTTATCGTTCTTGTGCACTGCACACTTCCTCAATGAGATCCATCCACCTATGTTTTTTCAAGTTGATACCTCAAATACTTTTTGAGATAAGCTCCGGACAAAATAGTATGAAAAAGAACAAAGGGCAATAACTCAGAAATTATGAAAGGTAGAGTTATCATTCTTGTGCAATGCACACCTCCTGAGTGAGATCTATGCACCTATGAAGTTTCATTTTGATATCTCAAAGGCTTTTTGAGTTATGTTCTGTGCAAAAAATAATTTTGAAAAATAACAAAGGGCAATAACTCAAAAATAATGCAGGGTAGAGTTATCATTCTTGTGCACTGCACTCCTCCACAATGAGATCCATCCACCTATGAAGTTTCAAGTTGATACCTCAAATACTTTTTGAGAAAAAAATTGAATTGAAAAATTAAGTATGAAAAATAACAAAGGCCATAACTAAAATTTATCAAAGATAGAGTTATCATTCTTGTGCACTGCACACCTCCTGAGTGAGATCTATGCACCTATGAAGTTTCATGTTGATATCTCATAGGCTTTTGGAGTTATGCTCTGGACAAAAATCAATTTTGAAAAAAAAACAAAGAGCAATAACTCAAAAATTATGCAGGGTAGAGTTATCATTCTTATGCACTGCACTCCTCCTCAATGAGGTCTATCCACCTATGAAGTTTTAAGTTGATAACTCAAATACTTTTAGAGATATGCTCCGGACAAAAATGTCGGACGGAAGGACGGCCGGACGGACGGAAGGAAGGTCGGACGGACGGACGGACGGACGGAGACTATTTCTATATCCCCCGCCGCCTTTTCGGCGGGGGATAATAAAAAAATTCCGGTTTAAAAATCTGGTTAAAAATCATTTTAAGTTGTTAACTACCAACGTATAATTTAATACAGATTCTTAACATTTGCATTTTTTTAATATCATCACAAAAAAAATCACTGTGATTTCTCAAACATTATAAAACTTGTTGTTGGATACATTAAAGCATAATTTGTTTACAATAAAATATCACAGTTACCTGTTAGTTTGATAAACAGCAATGCTGAACAAAACCCCAGCTTCCTGCCATGGTTTTTCTGTATGTAAGGAGTTACATGTCTCTACCCTAAAACATGCATTAAACATACCATGATTAAAGTGTATAAAGGAAAGCAAAAGAATTAATCCTTGAAACAAATATACATGTATTTTGTTGGATTTTAAGTCACATCAACACTGTTAAGGTCGCTATGGCAACTTCCAAGCTTCACTGGTAAGGAAGACCACCACTGTTCTGTAAGCTAGCTGGATAGCTTTATCACAAGAAAAAATCCCAAAACCCTGATGGGATTCAAACCCACAGCAGTGAGGGACTAGAAGTCCACAATCTTAACCCCTTTGCCCCAGATGGAAAATACAAAAAAAGAAGGATTTTTTTTTACTTGAAGATACAGAAATGTTGTTGAATTTTTGTCTTAGACTTGTTTTATGAAGTAAGGATACATTTTTCCAAGGGTAGTTCATTTAACCTGTCTAATGGAATAAAACCATAAAACCTTCAATCAATTAAATAAATCATAACAAAAATGTAAACGTCAAAATCATGGAAACTTCCAACTCTGCTAGTGAAGTAAAATTTAAGGTGCCCCATCCTTGCATTATTTCAGACATATGCAGGCGCCTGAGTAGAACCACTGACATTTAGTAAGTAAAGACCTAAATCCACAGCAGCAGGAGGCAAGTATTTCAAGTCAGGGAAAACTCAACCATGGAAGTCCCATCTTTAAAATGTAGAAATAATAAAACATATAACTTTAAGTTAATTTTACCTTGCACCACCAATGACCAATTGCAGTGGATTGTCAGCCCTCAATTTTTTTGGTAGTAAATGCTTCACAAGGTGTGCATATCTCTGTCAATAAGAGTGGAAACAATACTCACAGTTTAATATACCAAATTGGCAAAATAGTATTAAAATATTATATAAAAACAAATTTTCTGTCACAAATTTGTCTCAAAATTGAAACTATTTGCATGCATTATTAAAAGCAACAATTCAAAATTTTTGCTTCCTCAATAGAGACTATGGTGAATGTATGTTAGACTTTTGATACAGTCCTTAGTCAGGAAAAGAATTTTCTGTGACAATTGTGTTGACAAAAAGTTCTGTATTGCTGTTTCATGAAGATTACACAATAATAAATTCAATTACAAATCAAAATAAACAAATCTAAAAAATAACAATAAAAAAACAAAGACCTACCATCAATGACAACATGAAAACTGGACATACGTTACACATTTCACTCAGCGTTTCTTCACTTTTATCTGTTTTACAGACTTGACATATCCCCTAAAATAACAGAATATACCTTTTATATAATATTCAAGTTTGAACAGCTACCTCAGCCAAACAAAATGATTTAAATATAGAAAAATTCTCATTTTCATTAAATTCTTATAGTTAAGAAATACAGACATGTTTCCTTTTAAATGTTGATAATAAAATCATTTCATTGAAAAACAAGAAATGTTTGTGAAACTTATATACCCACAAATTACAACCAGCTAGTCATGTTACATACCACACTACCACAACTGAAACTGTCAGTCAGCTTTTGTGGTGAAGGTCACTATGACCTTGACATACTGACCTCAAAATTATTAAGGGTCATTAACCTGTCCTGACCAACCTACCAAACAAGTCTGATGACTGTAGGCCAAAGTATTCTTTCATTTGTACAGACAACATTATTCATGGACAAAGTGTCTGTGATCACCTTGACCTTTGACATACTGATCTCAAAATCCATGAACTGACCAACCTCCTTATGAAATCTAATGACCAGTTTCAAAGGGTTTTTCTTTTCATTGGCTAACTGACTTCAAAAAATATAGTGGTCATCAACAGATCATGACCGACAGTCCCACAAAATATGAAGGCTATAACTGAAAGAAACTAGACAAACAAGAGGGCCATGATGGCCCTAGATCGCTCACCTGACTTATCAAACTCATCCAAACAATTACCTAGACAAGCATTCTGACCAAGTCTCATGACAGGTGAGTCAAAAATGTGACCACTACAGTGTTAACAAGGATTATCCATATTTGAGCAGTGCGACCTAGTTTTTTACCCAGGTGACACATATTCAAACTTGACCTAGAAATCATCAAAACAAACTTTCAGACCAATTTCCAGGATACTTGGATCAAAACAGTAGCAACTAGAGTATTAACAAGATTTTTCTATTTTTAGCTCCGGTGACCTAGTTTCACATGCGATTTCGAACTCATCCAAGCAATTACCTAGACAAGCATCCTAACCAAGTTCGATGATAATTGAGTCGAAAATGTGACCACTAGAATGTTAACAAGGTTTTTCCATATTTGGGCGGTGTGACCTAGTTTTTCATCCAAGATGACCCATGTTTGATCTTGACTTAGAAATCATCAAAACAAACTTTCAGACCAATTAACAGAATATTTGGATCACAACAGTAGCCACTAGAGTGTTAACAAGATTTTTCTATTTTTAGCTCCTGTGACCTAGTTTTTCATCCGAGATGTCCCATGTTCGATTTATTCCCAGCAATGACCTAGGCAAGTTTCCTGACCAAGTTTGATGACAATTGAGTCAAAATTGTGACCACTAGAGTGTTAACAAGGTTTTTCTTTTTTTAGCTCCTGTGACCTAGTTTTTCATCCGAGATGACCCATGTTCGAACTCATCCGAGCTATCACCTAGACAAGCATCTTGATCAAGTTTGATGATGATTGATGCAAAAATGTGACCGCTAGAGTGTTATCAAGGTTTTTCTATTTTTAGCTCCGGTGACCTACTTTTTCATCCGAGATGACCTATGTTCAAACTCATCCGAGCTATCACCTAGACAAACATCTTGACCAAGTTTGATGATGACTGATGCAAAAATGTGACTGCTAGAGTGTTAACAAGGTTTTTCTATTTTTAGCTCTTGTGACCTAGTTTTTCATCCAAGATGAGCCATGTTCGAACTCATCCGAGCTTTCAACTAGATAAGCATCCTGACCAAGTTTGATGATGATTGATGCAAAAATGTGACCGCTAGAGTGTTAACAAGGTTTTTCTATTTATAGCTTCGGTGACCTAGTTTTTCATCCGAGATGACCCATATTCGAACTCATCTGAGCTATTATCTAAACAAGCATCCTGACAAAGTTTGATGATGATTGGGTCAAAAATGTGACCACTAGAGTGTTCTCAAGGTTTTTCTATTTATAGCTCCTGTGACCTACTTTTTCATCCGAGATGACCCATGTTCAGACTCATCCGAGCTATCACCTAGACAACATCCTGACAAAATTTGATGATAATTGGGTCAAAAATGTGACCTGTAGAGTGTTCACAAGGTTTTTCTATTTTTAGCTCTTGTGACCTAGTTTTTCATCCAAGATGAGCCATGTTCGAACTCATCCGAGCTTTCAACTAGATAAGCATCCTGACCAAGTTTGATGATGATTGAGGCAAAAATGCGAACGCTAGAGTGTTCACAAGCAATTGTGGACGTACGACGGACGGACATTCACCGATCCTAAAAGCTCGCCCTGAGCAAGCTCAGGTGAGCTAAAAAAGCTTTCTAAAAGAGAACTACCAATAATTTGTTCATGTTATTCTGGTGTACAAAGAAGGGGACTTAAATATATACATGTATTGTTAGGCTACCTGTCACAAAAGTTCTGCGCGCAACATACATGGCAATATGAAGGAAAAACTTTTAATAAATTTCTTTTGCCTACCTGACACAAAAAGACTGTGATACTAGCAGGTAAAAATAGTCCCTCACACAAATGTGGCGCAATAATCTTTGTAATGAACTGTGCTATCAGGTTCAGGGGAATCTGTGGGGTTATCGTGTTCAATGTATCACTAAACATCAAATACCCTGGTAAGCAAACACCCAACCTGTAATAATATAAAAACACAGTACATAGTGGGGTTTGAGAAAGAGACAAGACATACTTTACTTCATATGTATTTATGTCTACATTTGAGACAATGGGCTACTTTAAAGTACATGTAGTTTAAAGATAATTTCTAATTTAATTCAGTAATGAAAAAAGTTTATAACATATGTTAAACTCAATGCAATTACTGTATGAATATGAAACAGTGGTTTACCAGTAATAATACCTTTTATTGCATTAAATACCCTGTAAACTTAAATCATTACATTCACTTTATGGAGACCAACATCTTATGACCTTGACATTAAAATTGCAGGTAAGATATTCAACCACCACTAAAGCTGGACAGTGACCACTTTAAAAACAACCTGAGACTTATTCACCAAGCCGAAAAAGAGAAAGAAATGAGATACCTAAGGAAATGTTGTACTATACATTGTTGTTGAATTTCATCCGCTGTCCCTGACAAAAGGTTCATCAGCTGTTGTGGTAACCAGGGTAACATATCACCTCCATCCTTAGTCTGATGTGAAAACCTTAATGTTAATTCCTACAATGTTAAACATACATATTACCATTTCTTTTATAATTTTGTATAATTTGAAAAAACAACAACAGAAAACACAAGTGCAGCACTGGCTCTATTGTATAGATTTCAGCCTTTAAAGATTAAAGCCCTACTTGGACCATTAACCGGATTTCCTTGTATGAAACCAGAAATGTTTAGTTCAGGACACAGATAAGAAAGAAACTGGTATGATTCATGAGAATTTTTGTTTCATAATCAGGAGAATTATGAATACTATGAATACGTATATACATCAAGATAAATGACTCATACAGATTTCTCATCAAAATATTTCCCATTTTTTTAATTCTTATCCCCGAAACAGACTGATTACTATTAGATTAATGAAAGTGACCTGTGATAATAATAAATCAATATATATGCTGTAAACTAGATATGCATAATGGGACTTCCACGATGCTGTAAATTGATGACTGACAACTGTAAACTGACAACTGAAAGAGCTTTAAAATTTGGCAGCATATAGAGCCTAGTAAGACTGCAAGGATAGTCTCTACTAGTAAAGAAAGATTCAAGATGACCTGCCTTATCTATATAATAACCCCTATATCTTTATTTATTTGATGGCCCTCCATGTTTTATTAAAGGCCAGAGCAGCCCTTTGTTAAAACATGTTACTCTCTGCTTCCTCAGTAAAAATAGTGCAATGTCTTGGTTTCAAACCCGAAGAGGCAACTGATAACCGTAAGTGATATAAAGACTTAGATATTGGCTTACATCATTCAAGCACCGGGGTCCCCATCACATACCTGAACAAGGTTAACCAGTACAGTCCTGCTGTTGATAGGTGAGACTGTATTTTGTTCACAACATTCACAACTATCCTCACTTCCCTGACTAAGCCTGTAAAAAAATATATATATACAGTAGATAAACTTTCATTGGAACACTGCAAAATAAACTGTTGATATTGAAAGACCTAAATCATCACTTCATTATATTCTATGAAAATTAACCCTCTATATTCTGGAAATCAGATGAAAATTAATAAATAGGGAAGTTGGATGAGTCTGTTTGGATGAGTCTGTTTAAGAACTTACGCAAGTTATTACCTCTCAACTAAAAATTGAAACCATGTCAACAGTGTTTAATCATTATAAAGACTATCATCATATTAATCTTCTAAAATTACTGCGGCGTTCTATTCTTGTGGCGGCGTGGCCTAATGGTTAATGCGTCAGACTAGTAATCTAAGGATTGCTGGCAGCATGCACTCAAACCCAGTCAGGAGCAAGCTATTGTTTTCTTAGCAAGAAACTACACTCATTGCATGGTACTTGTTAGTTCCAGGAATGAATTCAAGACTGTTTCAATAAGCTTATAGTTTCCAACACAATCAAACTAAAATAAATTTGCATAAATTAAAGTTTCATGCCTACCTTATATCATACTTTACTATTCCCTGTACAACAGCAGATGCTATACTGTAAATGTCCTCTTGCTTTATGCCAAGGAAGTAGCTGTATACCATCCATGAGAGATACTCGTATCTGAAAATTTTGATATGTACATTGAAAATTTATACTACCTGTATAGTGAGATGTGTTTTAGACTAAATTAAATCACAAGAATATTAAACATCATGGTTTTCACAGTTATAACCAATCTATAAAACTGAATGTGTAGAAATGACATAATGGGACAGTTTGCCTAACAAGCTGGCTGGGTGGTTAAGTTTTACATAACTTATCCCAGGGATCATAGGTTCAAGTTCAACTGGTGTCATGACCATCTTACTTCTATAGCACCAGTACTGGCTAGCTATGTTACCAGTTCTTATTAGTTAGAGGAGATAAAAACTAAAAATAAAACACAGAATAGAAAATTCATAAAATTACCTTTGATAATGTGTTAGACAATCATCTTCAGGACAGACAGAAATCTCCAAGTCAACCCATTCAGACACTGTCAACTGTGATTATACAAAAGTAAAACAGTGTTTATTATATAATGCATAGTTTTTTTAAAAACTTCCTTTCCTTTTTTGTTGAATTTTAAGTCACAATGACACTATTAAAATTCCTATGACAACTTTAACCTCTGACCCCTAGATCCATCATTCCTGACACAAAAGAATAACAATCAAGGTTCTGTATGCTAGCTGCAAGGTTTCCTCACAAACCACAATTAGCATCCTTTCTTATCTTAAAACTAGAATGTAACAACTTACTGGATATATGTTGGCAATCTGCTGGAAGTTCTCGGACATGTATAAAGCACTAACGATATTATCCTCCCTTGACAAATTACTTCCCTTGTCATAGTAACAAAGTTGAACATTCTGTCTAGTTGACAAATATATAAACTGCAAAAAAAAAAAATAAATATAAAAATAAAGATGAAATTCTTGATCTCTGTAAAGCCAATCTTCCTTAGTGTATAAAATAGCTGACAACATTTGATAACAATAAAATATTCCACAAATATTACTATAAAATGTGTATATGACAAAATATGTAGACAATTCTCTAATCTCAGTAACTGGGTAGTATTGCCATGATAAAATTCTTCAATATCTTCCTGCTTGTATTATACAGTATAACCTTTATAGAGCAACACCCTTTGGGAGACACAATTTTAAAGAGGTTATTACTCTAGAGACAGCTACTATGTAGAGGTTACACTGTACTTTTAAAGTTTAACGTATACTGCAAATTTTTACACATTTCTTTAATTAAAAATAAACAACTTTGCACTAACACATGCACGTAAAACCAGTGACTTTCCATAAAACTATTGGATAGCATAAAGGGACCAAAAATCAATGGCAGGTTTTAAACCCACAGCTGTAGAATGTGTAAGAGGTGATTTGATTGAAACCCATAAGATACCCTACTTAATGGAAAATAATTATTTGGAAAGATTTTTTTAGAAGTTAAACATATCAGCCACTAGACGATATCATCTTAAATTTAACAATTTTAAACCAAGACTAAATAAGGGACTTTTACTACGTAAAAACATTTTTTCCATTAGATCTCCATTAGAATTGTTCACTTGTGGAACGAATTGCCAGAAAGGGTTGTTTCAGCAAAAACAATTAATATTTTCAAAACCGGACTAGACCATCACTGTTATGAACAGATATGGGACTGGAGAGGCATCACATCAGATCTAACTCCCATACAAGTGCACAATCTCAAACATAGTAAAGAACTGGAATCAATGACTATAAAAAGAACAGAAAATAGAAATGTGATCTGATTTCAAACACATCATACAATTACATACCTTTTTGATTAGAATTGGAATTAAGACTGTTCGCTCTAGTTTATCATATCTACTAAACATATATTTCATACAGCATGTTGTTAACCTGAAATACACATGTATATATAATATAAATAACACATCAAACTCTAAACATACAACATTAAAACTTATCATATATTTTCTGCCTAAATGAATAATTAATTTTAGACTAATTTAACAGAGAACTAAAACCTTATAGGAAAAACATCAGACATTGTATACACATAATGGTATACAAGTACATATACACCAAAAAGCAGACTACTTAAAATAACAAATTAAAAGCATTTATATATCTAAAAATAACACAGGTAAAGCTCAATGCAGGTCAAATCAATTAATATACAAATTAGCCATGGAGAAATAAATTGCAATCACTAATAAATACCTCAGGCTTAGATTCATCCAACTATTTGTTCTTACAGGAAGAATGTCTATAATACAGGCAGTTAATGTTGTGTTGACATCATCATTATTGTGACCTTGACATTTCATTTGTACACACGGTAACTGTTGCCATAGTGACTGGACCTCAATAAGAATAGCAGCTACACAGTCAACATGATGGTTTTCAAGATGTATTCCCTAAAAAATATGGCCAGATTTTCATCATTTTAATTAAGCAAGTGAGTTTAAGCATTCATCAAGTCTTACATGAAAACTTGAGAGAGCTAAATGACCCCTGAATATCATCTTTGTCATTTCATGTTTTGATGTTTAATTCTGCTTAAGTCGGTACTAGGGGGCATGAACACAATCTTACATTTACGACTGCCATCCATGTACAGACTTGGTCAAACCGAGCTTGCAACATTTCTAGAAAAGTAGAACTTGTACAACAAAGAAATTGTTTAAGCCACCTAGTCGCTGACGTTTACCTGATTAAATATCAACATAACAATTTGAAATAAATACCTGTTTGATTGTTAATATGAAGATCCTATTATACAATGTTTCAATGACAACTGAGTACTGACTTAGAGACTGGAGTAATGTTGTTAACCAAGAAAAGTCTGGGTTCTGTTGTGAATAACAAATCTGCAAGTTCTCATTTACAATGTTGAGTAGAGCATCAATCACCTGTAATTATACAAAATAAATGCTTAAAATTGAACAAATAAATGCTGAAAATTGAACAAATAAATGCTGAAAATTGACAAGAGGGCCATGATGGCCCTGAGGTCGCCTCACCTGTATATAGCCCCCCCCGCCCCCCCGCCCCCAACGTTGCAGGGCCAATTTAACCCAAGGGCTTTTATTTGCACAAACTCGGTAGACACCCATAAGAATATGTTTCATGCTAAACATCTAAGCTCTAGCTCATTGGGCTTTTTAAAAGAAGATTTTTTTAAGTTTTTACTATACATACATAGTTAGAAACAATGACACCCCTGGGGCCGGGCCAGTTTTGACCCCAGGGCTTTTATTTGAACAAACTTTGTAGACACTTACTAGAAGATGTTTCATGCTTAATATCTAAACTCTAGCTATTTGGGTTTTTTCAAAGAAGATTTTAAGTTTTTGCTATACACATATAAAGAAAATCAATGACCCCGGGGGCGGGGCCAATCTTTACCCCAGGTCTTTTATTTGACCAAACTTTGTAGACACTCACTAAAAGATGTTTCATGCTTAATATCTTAACTCTAGCTATTTGGGTTTTTTCAAAGAAGATTTTTTTAAGTTTTTGCTATACACATATAAGGAAAATCAATAACCCCCGGGGCGGTGCCAATTTTGACCCCAGGCCTTTTATTCGAACAAACCTGGTAGACACCTATTAGAACATGTTTGATGCTAAATATCTTAGCCATAGCTCTTTGAGTTCTTTAAAAGAAGATTTTTTAAGTTTTTACTATATGCATATAGGGAAAATCAATGACCCCCGGGGCGGGGCCTATTTTGACCCAAGGGATTCTATTTGAACAAACTTGGTAGACACTTATTAGAACATAATCCATGCTAAATATCTTAGCTCTAACTCTTTTGGTTTTTTAAAAGAAGATTTTTTAAGTTTTTACTATATGCATATAGGGAAAATCAATGACCCCCTGGGGCGGGGCCAATTTTGACCCCAGGGCTTTTATTTGAACAAACTTTGTAGACACCCATTAGAACATGTTTCATGCTAAATATCTTAGCTCTAGCTCTTTGGGTTCTTTAAAAGAAGATTTTTTAAGTTTTTACTATATGCATATAGGGAAAATCAATGACCCCCCCCCCCCCCCCCCCCCGGCGGTGCCAATTTTGACCCCAGGGCTTTTATTTGAACAAACTTGGTAGACACCTATTAGAACATGTTTGATGCTAAATATCTTAGCCATAGCTCTTTGAGTTCTTTAAAAGAAGATTTTTTAAGTTTTTACTATATGCATATAGGATAAATCAATGACCCCCCGGGGCGCGGCCAATTTTGACCCCAGGCCCCGTGTTCACAAAGAAAAGATCAGGATCAGGATCAAGTGATCCTGATTTTATTTTCTTTGTTTTATATAACTAATATTGATCGTATTTTGCTAGAATTGAATGGTACATAAAGTTAATGTAATATTTTGCTGATTTGCAAAGAAACAATCCTGTTTAGGGGTAAAATAGACAAATAACGAAACAAATACAAAAATAATCGGATCAAAATAAGGATCAATTTTAGGATCAAGATCAATATTTGGATTAACTGTAAAATGCCCATATCTTTCAAAAATTACAATAAATTTATTCTTTAATTTCAAAAACATGCTACTTCAAGTCCAGTTTTATCAAGTTAATATTAAATATCTAATCTATAAGAATAAACAATGGATAATATTTGAGTTTTTAGATTTGATCCTGATCTTGATCCTGATCCTAAAATCTTTGTGAACACGGGGCAAGGGCTTTTATTTGAACAAACTTGGTAGACACTTATTAGAACATGTTTCATGCTAAATATCTTAGCTCTAACTCTTTTGGTTCTTTAAAAGAAGATATTTAAAGTTTTTTCTTTCGGTTGCCATGGCAACCAGAGTTCTGCATGGAATTAAATTCTTTGAACAATTTTTAAAGGTGACCACCAAAGGAACATTCCTGTGAAGTTTGGATGAAATTGGCTTAGTGGTTTATGAGGAGATGTCATTTAAAGTAAAAGTTTACGGACGGACGGACGACGGACGGACGGACGCCGGACGAAAAGTGATCACAAAAGCTCACCCTGTCACTTTGTGACAGGTGAGCTAATAAAAAAAATGCTAAAAATTGAACAAATAAATGCTCCTGAAAATTGAACAAATAAATGCTGGAAAAAAGTGTGGATCAAGAAAGTTATCTTGAAATTATACATGAATAAGTATAAGTACAAATGTGTAAAAAAAATATCCAAAATACAAGAATGCCTGGTTAGGGTGGCCTATAAATGTTGGCCAAAAAGCTGAAAAACATAAAAAAAATTTATCTAGAACCACGCTACATATTGTTGTGTGCAAATAGAGTTGATAATCAATAAAAGTGTTGCAAATTTCAATACTATACCTCAGTAAAAATAAATGTTTTGTTTGTTCGTTTGTTTGTTTGGCAGATTATTCAGTTAATTTTAATACATTTTTTGGTCATATCAACAGGCATGCCTGGATAACTAACCAGTAATTACCAATTTTTTTCTGAAAGTGACTGACTACCATTTCACAATGATTTCTGAATCAGTGGAGAGAGACAAATGACCATTAGACTCAATGTCTGAGATCAGTTGCCATGGAGAAATTACGCCACACACAAGAATGGAACCTGTGACACCTAGATTTCTAGTCTGATGCTGTCCCGATTGTTAGGGGAACTCAAATAAGTCATACAAACTTACCTTTAAATGTAGAGATTCAAGTTTAGGATTATCTGTTGCTATGGTAACACATTCTGGTGTATGTAAACTAACATGGGGAGATAATGACAATACAGTTTCTACTCTTCCACATAGCTGTGATAATATCTCTGGAACTAAAATCATGATGTTTATATTAATTTTATAGAACACAATTTATTAAAACATAAAATTCAACCTTCAACAATTGTTTGCATAATATATAAATGAAGAGAAGGATTTGTTATTTGAAAAAATATCAGATATTTCTCACTGCAAATGTGTACACATGTCAGTAGTGCAAAGTTTTTTTTTGTTTCGTTTTTTATCTATTGAACCCTTACCACCTTTAAAATCTGAAAAGGACCTGTCCATCTTTTATCTGGACAAAATCAGCTACCATTTTTTGAGGAAAAAAAATATGAGTAAGTACCAACTTAATAGCAAACAGTGCAGACCATGATCAGATGGCAAAGATTACAGTCCACTTCTGTAAATAAAGGCCACTATTTGGAAATCCTTTATTGATAAAATGGAATAAAGTTACCTCAAAATTAAGACCACTTTTCCATTAAGACCACATTGTCTCTCTCACTTGGGTGGCACTTAAAACTTTAACCATTTTGGGGTTTCATGGGCCATTAACCATTTGGCCAAAGAGGCTAATCTCTGAACTATTGATTAAATTAAGTATAAAATAAAAATACCTGTATGTTTAAAAGAATCTGCATTTTCTCTGCTTTTAACTCTGCTTTTCAACAACTGCAGTGTATTTACCAATAGTTCAAAGGGAGACAACTCCATTTCATCATCAGTATCAGAATCAATAAACACCCCTGATTGAATAGAAAATGAATTAAATAAATCAACCAATCAAATGACTCCATTTCAAGTAAAACAAGAGGGCCATGATGGCTCCGAGGTCGCTCACCTATATATAGCCTCCCCCCCCCCGGGCCAATTTTTACAGACTTGGTAGACACATGTTTCTGCACACCCCTGGGGCAGGGCCAGTTTTGACCCCTGGGCTTTTATTTGAACAAACTTTGTAGATATTTACTTAAAGATGTTTCATGTATAATATCTAAACTCAAGCTATTTGGGTTTTTTCAAAGAAGATTTTTAAGTTTTTGCTATACACATAGCATTGAAAAGAAGATTTTTTAAGTTTTTACTATATGCATATAGGGAAAATCAATGACCCCCGGGGCGGGGCCAATTTTGACCCCAGGGCTTTTATTTGAACAAACTTGGTAGACACTCACTAGAAGATATTTCATGTCAAATATCTTAGCTCTTTGGGTTCTTTAAAAAAAGATTTTTTAAGTTTTTACTATATGCATATAGGGAAAATCTATGACCCCCTGGGGTGGGGCCAATTTTGACCCTTGGGCTTTTATTTGAACAAACTTGGTAGACACTCATTAGAAGATGTTTCATGCCAAATATCTTAGCTCTAGCTCTTTGGGTTCTTTAAAAGAAGATTTTTTCAGTTTTTACTATATGCATATAGGGAAAATCTATGACCCCCTGGGGCAGGGCACAAACTTTGTAGATATTTACTTAAAGATGTTTCATGTATAATATCTAAACTCAAGCTATTTGGGTTTTTTCAAAGAAGATTTTTAAGTTTTTGCTATACACATACAAGGAAAATCAATGACCCCCAGGGCAGGGCCAGTTTTGACCCCAGGGCTTTTTTTTTTAACATACTTGGTAGACACCCATTAGAACATGTTTCATGCTAAATATCTTAGCTCTAGCTCTTTGAGTTCTTTAAAAGAAGATTTTTTAAGTTTTTACTACATGCATATATGGAAAATCAATGACCCCCTGGGGCAGGGCCAGTTTTGACCCCAGGGCTTTTATTTGAACAAACTTGGTAGACACTCATTAGAAGATGTTTCATGCCAAATATCTTAGCTCTAGCTCTTTGGGTTCTTTAAAAGAAGATTTTTTAAGTTTTTACTATATGCATATAGGGAAAATCTATGACCCCCTGGGACGGGGCCAATTTTGACCCCAGGGCTTTTATTTGAACAAACTTGGTAGACATTCACTAGAAGATGTTTCATGCCAAACATCTAAGCTCTAGCTCTTACGGTTCTTGAAAAGAAGATTTTTTAAGTTTTTACTATATGCATATAGGGAAAATCAATGACCCCCGGGGCGGGGCCAATTTTGACCCCAGGGCTTTTATTTGAACAAACTTGGTAGACACTCACTAGAAGATATTTCATGTCAAATATCTTAGCTCTTTGGGTTCTTTAAAAAATATATATAAATTATATAAATAATGCAAAATCTATTTTATCAAGTTACCCAGATTCAGTGATCATGTCTTCTGTCCAACCTTTCCCATGACAAATAACCTCCCTTTAATTACAAAATTTGAAAACTTGTATAATTTAAATACTTAAAACTGTATCCCCAATAATGTTTTAAAATTTTACCTTCCAAAAGTTGACTTGCTTCCCTCTTACAACCTTTTTCATATGTAGTGTAAATGGATATTGGTATCTTGTCAGCTCTGTAAACAATGTAATGAAAATATATTGTCAGTCCACCTAAATATCAGTTAAATTTTCATTGTCAAGTCAACCCAGTGAAAAGGTCAAGATATTAACATTGTCAGTCCAGCCAAAAAGACAATATATGTATATTTTTACAGTGTCAGTCCAGTGAAAATGACAAGATATAAGAAACTTGAATATCCTCTATTTACCAGAATTTTATTTTAATTACAAGCAAAGTAAGGTATTACATCTTAAAATTCAACATTACCTTAAGAAGGAAGTATTACCTCTTTAAAGATGCAATCAGTCTCATTTTACTATCTGGCATATCAGGAAGCTGAAATAGGAAAAATATGTGAATAAATATACAAAACCAGGGGTTATAGATATTTATGGTGTTCATTAAATACATACTTGATATACAAAAATACACCTATACGCACAACTTTTAGACTATGAAACAGAGGCCTTATAAAGGCCCCTTCACAATATGAATAAGGCCCCATCTCAATATGAATAAGGCTCCTTCACAATAACAAAATGCCAGGATCATAACAGAAAGGAATGCCACTTTAACAATAAAAAATTCTTTGATTGATGATGCATAACAGTATAACAAACAAATTTCTAAATATCTTTAGCATTGTCCCCTTTTAATACCCTAAAATCTTCAACATCATGTAGAAATATCTTGAGTAAATGTTTTGCTTTTATTAAATAAAGAAAATATGTAGGATATGTGGAAAGAGAAAATGCACCAATATTTGGACTTAAATCTTAAATCTTTTCCAGTCTAAATCAAATCACGCCGGCAATATTTTCTTTTGCAAGTGCAGGCAATCATTTTGGCTACATTTCAGTATTTTATTACACAATGTATATCAATACTATTAAGAAGAGCTATAGGTTTAAATAAAGTATTTCATGCCAAGTACACATACTGGGTAAAAGATACTTACCGGTCTGGGATGTAGCAGTGCTGGTAAGAACTGACCGATGTAGTATGGTTTACGGAATATACTGGCCTCTAATATAGATGTTGGAACTTTCCCTGATGTCTCAAACAGTTTTACAGCATTCTCAACCTCAGATATCATCTGTTTACCCTATAAGAAAATCAAATTTACCGCGTCATGACAAAACCAGCATAATGGGTTTGCGACCAGCATGGATCAAGACCAGACTGCGCGGATCCATGCTGTTCGCTTACAAACCCTATAACAAGTAGAGAAACTGATAGCGAACAGTATGGATCCTGATCCGACTGCACGGATGCTCAGCCTGGTCTGGATCCATGCTGGTCGCAAACCCATATGTTGGTTTTGTCATGACTTCAAAAACATAAATTTTAAGTATGAAATTTTATTTAAAACTAATATCAAATTGTTAAAACATTAAAGAAATATCCCTATATTAACATAATTTTTATGATATCTTATAAGCTTACAGCCTAAAAATATCTTTTTTTCTAATTTTGTTTGGTTTCTATATACAGTAAACTACATGAAATTTAAAAACATTGTATCTTAAACACACATCCATCATTAATTTATTTCTCTACCAAAAGGTAAAAAAACTTTTCATCCTACCATTTTTTTTAATTATATTTTTAATTCCTTACCTTTTCATTACCTGATGTGGAATCACCCTCACTACCAGGTATATCCAAAGATTCCTAAGACAGAAATAATTAAACAATAACAAAAAGCATGCCCAACATGAACTGAAATAATCTAGGCACACGTCATTGAACTATGGCATCATAATATTTCCAATGAAAACATACTTGAATTTTTTTCTCTCAAAATTTTATAATTTCAGTAATAAGGTATATTTGTTCTTATCTCTGTATGCCAAGTTTAATACAGGGTTCGTACAGACATCCAGTATCAAAATTCAAGGACTTTTTAAGCACTTTTTAAGCAAGTTTTTCCATTTTTCAAGCACAATTTGTTGCGTCTATATCCTACACAATGTTTAACCAATATTAATTTACAAGTCATTTCTTGCTGAAAATACATTTTCTGACTACAGTTTCTATAGAATAACAACAAAGATAGCAACAAATACAAACTTAACTGACACCCTGTTGTATGGCCTCCTGTTAAAACCCTAACCTCAATATATCACGCTCCCCCACCCCCCCCCACCCCCCCCAAAAAAAAGAATATTATTTTTGATGATTATTTTTTTCATGTAGATTTATAACTGTGCTTATAAGCAGAAAAGGTGTGAAAGGAGCACAGGTAAACGTTGATCCGCTCTTTTGTTGTTTTACCCGTCGATCAGTCAGGCATAATTTTGTTACAAAAAGATATCAAATTCATACTGTAGCTGTGACATGCAAATATTGCTGAATTAAGTTAATCACACACAAGCTTTTTACTGATGGAGATAAATGGTGTTTGATTAACTAAGAGGCACTACTAATGCTGGAAGCTTTCACTACACTTGTAATAGCTAACTGTTTCCATTTGTGATTTTAGGTTTTTAGTTTCTTTTAAATATAAATACTGCAACATTACAATATTATATATATCTACATTATTAAATTGTTTTACAAAAATAATGTCAATAATCATTGAATGGTAAGTAAAAATCATTAGCATTATACATAATTGCAGTGGGTGGGGTAATGTGGTGATCTTGCGATGAGAGTTACATATCAGAATCTTGCTAAATGCTGTGTTGAGACCTTGGAACACAACATGAGCATTATAGAGGGGTTGAAGTGAAGTTCAAATCAATTGCAATATGTGCCTGTTACATTGAGCAAACATTACAAAATTCATTGATTTTGGTACTGAACAAGATCGTTTTTTTTTATATTTGTTGATTTTTACCAACACAAGTCTGTCATTCAATTATTTTCAAGCACATTTGTAGCGCCTTTAAGCCCTTTTTAAGCACTTTTCAAGAGAGTTATCAAATTCAAGGACTTTTAAGCTCTTTTTATCATTTTTAAGCACTTTTTAAGAAAGGGACTGAAATTTAAGCACTTTTTAAGACTGTACGAACCCTGAAATAGTATTGGATTCATAATACATGTACAACACTTTTTAACTATTAACTATTGACAAGAATAGAGCCCTTTATATCCACAAAGCAGCAGCAATAGAGCACCTTTAACATAACTTTTAAATGCACTTTTAAATTATTACTATAAACTATCTGGAATAGAACATCTTTTTAAGTGTAATCTATCAGGAACACAATACAGATTACAGTGTTTTCTGCACTGCACTTCTACTCATTTAGCTGTATCTACCTTCAAAGTTTCAACTTAATACCTTTTATAGTACTCAAGTTAAGTCCCGGACAAAGTTCAAAGTGTAAAAATGGACAAAGAACTCCAAAATTAAGAATGGGAGGCTTACCTTGAGATCTTCCAATCTTGTCTTGGCAAGTACAATATAATCTGTCAAAAGCTGTCTACATTTACTAGGTACAAATGGTGGGTGTAAAATGTGAACCTGTGACAAAACAAAGGCAAGAAAACCCCTATACAGCTGTTGTTTTAATATATAATTATGTATGTGATTACTTATACAAGTTTCTAACAGCATATACAGGAGAATATAGCCTGAATGATATAAACATGATCTGAGGTACTACCCAAGGGTTATATAGATGTCAGCAATTATATATTCTCCCATATATCCTGTCAGTAACTTGTCTAACAATTTTATAATAATGCAAATTGTTATTGAAGACAAGTTCATAAGAAAACACAGCAATTTTTGCTTATTTAAGGAATTTCAAAACCCAAATATTTATTTTATCTTGTTAACAATATATCAAGTATGTCTATTCATACAGCATTGACATGTAGGTGGATTATTATAATGACCTACACTTGACTTTCTTAGTAAGAATTATGTAGGTAAACCAAAACTAAAAATATTATAAACAGCTAGACACTTATCATATGTCATTATTATACTGGAGTCCATTTCACAATATTCTCTTAAATTATCATTGTTTATTTGTTTTACAAAAGACATATCTGCCTCAAATTTCTCTCTCTCAAAATAAACCTATTACAATTAAAAGTACAGAAAAATACATGTAGCTATAGGAATAAAACCTTCATCAGAAATATGATGAAAATACCAAGAGCATCTCAGAGCATGACAATATAAAGTTGTGCCCTGAATGCCAAATAGTTTCAATTTCCTTCCTTATATATTTATGTATCAGTCAGTTGTAACACTGGACCCAAATATCAATGAGCCAGTGCTGGGGACAGCTGGAAAAATGAACAATTATTCCACCATCCATCTGTCCGAGTAGTGCTTGGTTAATGTAGTGGTTTAATTTAGCAATCAAGTATTTTATAATATGTTCAGCTTGCATTGCATGGCCACTTAGTTTTGGTTGGGGAGTTTGGGTAACACTAAACTAAAAAATGTTGAAATTTACCTTGATGTGATGTGCTGATTCATAAGGTACCAGGTCTGTGAGAAATTTCATCAAAAATGTGAAACTTTTCCTAGTACTTGCCAATGACCTTGACCCCTCAGAAAATGTTCTCTGAAAAATAAATAGCTTTGTATCATATCTTAAATGAATTAACTGATGAAGAATATACTAATATTGACAGTGGCTCCCATTAACAAGCTAAATTAACCAGTCAGCTAAAAATAATAGAGACAAAAATACAATCTGGTTGTCGCTCATAATTATTTGAACATTCCTGGTAGAGGGTCACCTTAAACACATCAATATGAATTAATAATGTACATGTATATCAAAATTCAAACAAAAGAATTCATAAAATAAAGATTCTTAAGTTTTTTTGACCTACATATTGGTTAATGTGACCAAAACCCTGAATTCATATATATTAACATCTAACTTGGTAGAATTTCAAACTTCTTGTTGATGATGTATGAAACTATATCAAAATCAGGAAAACAATTTTCAACAAGAATTTTTTTCTATTGATATAAAAACATGTATATAGAGAAAATCCTGTCCCTTAACAAATACTTATTTAAAGAATGAAGTTTATTCTAACAATCTTGGACTCTTCTAAGAAATCATATAAAAAATTCAGATTTCTGCCAACATGAATATGTCATCACATACAAATTTGGAAAAGTTACAACACCCTTTAACAGTAAATACTGCTATTTTTAGAACAAATCATAACTACATGTAAATACCTGAAACCAGTCTGAATAGGAAAGGAAGACATGTGGTCCCTGAAAACAGGCCTGCCTTGATAGTAGAATACCCATAATGGTTGTTTCCATCTCACAACTGTCTAAACCTTCCTGCAGTAAACCATCTGTGAACTCTATAAATGTAGTAAACCATCTGTAAACTTTATAAATGTAGTAAACCATCTGTAAACTTTATAAATGTAGTAAACCATCTGTGAACTCTATAAATGTAGTAAACCATCTGTAAACTTTATAAATGTAGTAAACCATCTGTAAACTTTATAAATGTAGTTAACCATCTGTGAACTTTATAAATGTAGTAAACCATCTGTGAACTTTATAAATGTAGTAAACCATCTGTAAACTTTATAAATGTAGTAAACCATCTGTAAACTTTATAAATGTAGTAAACCATCTGTGAACTTTATAAATGTAGTAAACCATCTGTAAACTTTATAAATGTAGTAAACCATCTGTAAACTTTATAAATGTAGTAAACCTATAAATGTAGTAAACCATCTGTAAACTTTATAAATGTAGTAAACCATCTGTAAACTTTATAAATGTAGTAAACCATCTGTGAACTTTATAAATGTAGTAAACCATCTGTAAACTTTATAAATGTAGTAAACCATCTGTAAACTTTATAAATGTAGTAAACCATCTGTGAACTTTATAAATGTAGTAAACCATCTGTAAACTTTATAAATGTAGTAAACCATCTGTGAACTTTATAAATGTAGTAAACCATCTGTGAACTTTATAAATGTAGTAAACCATCTGTGAACTTTATAAATGTAGTAAACCATCTGTGAACTTTATAAATGTAGTAAACCATCTGTAAACTTTATAAATGTAGTAAACCATCTGTAAGATCTATCAACGTATCAAAACATTGGTAAATTCTTTAAATGTAGATAACATTTGTAAACTCAGTAAATGTAGTTGACAATCTGAAACCATCTGTAAACTCTATTAATGTAGTTAACCATATTGCTCCACTTCAGCCAGGTGTTCAGGACTTCATTCAGGTGTAAATGTCTCCCTTAATAGGATAGTACATTCACGCAGTGCATCCTTATTTTAGTCTGAAGCAGAAATAATGAAAATTACTAAGCAGATAATACCATTTAAGTTGTTGAGTATACCTGTAGTATAAAATTTACTAACACAATGACTTTATGATAAATATAAATTACTCACCAAGAAAAAGTTTAGCTGTTTCTGGCATACACACCATTAAAACAGATACAAATGACAGAAGTAGTTGCCAGTTCACTTCCTGCTGTTCCAGAATCTGTCTTAATAATAGCAACACCTCAGACACTTCAAATGGCAACAGAAACTGAAACAGGGAAATAAAATATGACTTTGTAAATTTTGCATTTTAGGTTTGATATGTAAGTCTATTGAGTTATATAGAATACAATGTACATGTATTATAATGCCTAGTACTAGAAATGTGTCCATGGGACACAAATTCCCCCACTTTCCATCATTTTGTCAGTCTGCAGATGTACAGAATGATAGTGGGACAGACAGACAGACAGATAAGTAACACTGTCATTGATATAGTCTAAAGCATATCAATGATAAATCCATAACAGATGACAAATATCATCAATACATCAATACACTGAGTACCATTTATCTTTACTTCACTTTCCTGTTTTCATGATTTCAGTAAGATATTTGGTCTGGACACAAAATTATAATGTGTAATGTCATTTTGACAGGAAAACTGCTTCTGTTTATGTTTTGGTTGAATTTTGTCTATTTCTAGGAGGGTCTTTCAAATATTTCTATTTGAAATACCCTATTTCTAGGCATTTTATAGATGAGTCCAAATTATCCATTTTTTCATCTGTATCCATTTGATTGACAAAAAAATATCAACTATATACCATGTTTTTCTTATTATGACATTTTGGAGATAAGGAAAATAAGTATATATATTATAATTTCCCTAAAAAAAGGGCATAAAAAATTAAATTGCATTAACCCGTTTTTTAAAAACCCCGTACAGATGCCAATTTTCCCCAAAGCCCTTCCCCGCTCTCGTTAGTTTAAACTGAAAAAAAACAAAAATTTTTCAAAAACAATTTATTATTATTAAATTCATTTTCCTTTTTTCAAAGATGGGTCATAACACATTTTTATATACGATTTTCCCCAATACCCATTTCACTGCTGGTGGAACACCCACTGCCATGGTGGCATTATTTAAGGTATAATAGTATAAACCAAATAACTTCAATAATAAAGCCAGATAGCTCTCTAACATGCAGGAAAATCTGAGCCACATAGCATCCAATGGCACAAGATTCTAATAAGTCACTGACTTAAAACTTAACCACGCTTATTATCTTAAATGTACCTGTCCATCTTTTAATCTGGATAAAACCATAAAATGTTTTTAGTGAAATTTTCAAAATATGTACACATGAATAGGAATATACATCTTTTTTACCATTTATATGCAATTTCAGTAAAACATCTCAATAATTTTTTTTACATACAAGTTCAGGTCAGGAAAACTTCCTTCTATATTTGTGAAATTTTCTTACATTAAGGTTCAGTAAAGTATCATTACATACAAGTTCAGTAAGACCTTCTTTATTTTACCTTTAAGTACAGGTTTATGACCGAGAATAATGGTCAACACATGGGTACACACGCTCTTCATTGTACATACATCAAGCTGCACACTAGAAAGGGAGATAAACAGTTTTTCATTCTTCACATTGTCATCTGAGTTACCCTTCTTGACAGCATCTTCTATTATACCTAGAAAATAAACCAGTTTCTAACATTTGTAAACGAGATTAAAGAAATACAGTGTGGAAAGAAATTACCTACATATAAATCCACAAGACAAAGTTACAATGATTCAATAACTGCAAAGCATCTCTATGAATTGCTGTACTTAGTTAACAATGGATTTAACTCAATACAGGACTGGAGCAGTACCTCTGGACGCTTGCAGAAATCATGATGAATAGATAGACAAATATTTTTTTTTTGTCAATTCTTACATTTTTCATTTATTATCATACATAAATTGGGTTTGAAAAGAGAAAAAATTTTTAAAAATTCATGCCGTTAGTGAAAAAGGGAAAATTTTGCATTTAAAATTTCCGCACCCTTGTCGTATATACCCGGAAATTTATATTAAATGTGGGGCTCCAATCCTTTTTTTAAACCACTTCTTAACATACGGGTGTCAATTACTTTCTAAAGAAAAAACTACAACCCAACATAAAAAGCCAAAATTTCCAAACTTTCTTTACTCTTTTTCCCCTGAAAATCCCAATTAAAAAAGCTCAGTCAGTACACCTGAAAAACGCAAAAAGGTTTTTTGATTGTGTTAAGTAAAAATTTTTTAAAATTACAAAGAATGGATTTTTAAAAAAATTTTTTATGTGCCAAGAAAAAACCAAATTTCACTACAATTTTGCTTTTGCTGTATTCACTTAAAAGAAACAAATGTCATTAATGTAATTGCTTTTAAGGTTTTTTATTTAACAAATGTTACCAAAAGTTGGCACCAAATAATGCTTATTTATATGGCGTTTATCAGCCATGTCTTGAAAATTTATATCTGTTATGCGTTCTTTCTATCTCTATCTATGAAGGTATAGAATGGGAATCAAAATTCTATATCTCACTCAAGTTTCAAACAGTGTGATATGACTTATATCTTACGGATGTTTTTTTTTTTGATATCTCATTGAAACAAGAACGTGTTTGTTGAACACAAATGCCCCCGGCTCAGATTCTTGTCAGTAACAATATTTAAAATAAAGGCTGTATGGACAAAAGTGTAAAAAATCTATTTTTAGCACTGGTGACCTTGACCAAACTGACCCCTTACTCCATCCAAAGGAAAAATATCATGCAACTTATTTTCCTACCAAATATGAAATAAATCTGTCAATATATAAAGGCTGTATGGGCAAAAGTGTAAAAATCTATTTTTAGCACTGTTGACCTTGACCCAACTGACCCCTAACTCCATCCAAAGGAAGAATACCATGTAAGTTATCTTCCTACCAATTATAATACAAATCTGTCAATAAATAAAGGCTGTATGAGCAAAAGTGTAAAAATCTGTTTTTAGCACTGGTGACCTTGACCCAACTGACCCCTACCTTAGAATCATCCAAATGAGAATACCTCAATTTTATGTTCCTACAAAATATACAAGACATCTGTCGATAGAATAAGGTTAATACACCTGTAAAAGTGTAAAAAATCTATTTTTGACATTGGTGACCTTGACCCAAATGACCCCTTACTAAAGGAAAAGGAAGAGGACCTCCCTTGGTATGACTATTATAAACATGAAAGACATTAACTTAAAAATAAAGGCTGTATGAGCAGAAATGTTTAGATTTAGATTTATTTTTTACACAAGTGACCTTGACCTTGACCTAGAGATGCCTAACGCCACAAAAAATTAAAGGACCGTTAAAGGTATCCACCTACCAAATATGAAAGATATCATTAATAATAAGTAATAAGGTGAATTTTTTTGATAAATCCAACTTGGCGGAATAGGTCAACCATACAAGGCCCTATTTTCAAAGTAATAAAAAGGAAAATTACTGGGAAAATGGATGGCACATTTATATAACTTGGCAATATCATGTACATTGTTTTGATAAGTAAGTGTGAAAATTATTAAGCCATTAGTTCAGATAGAACACAAGATATTTCCAACTTGCCGGTTTAGGTTAACCATTATTCATTTTCTAAGTGCTGAAAAGGGCCATAGCTTGGTGCAAATGGAAGCCATAGTTATGTAACTTGGCCATATCATATACTTTGTATGGATTAGTAAGTGTGTAAATTATGAAGCCATTGGTACAGGTAGAACTTAAGAAAAATCCAACTTGCCGTTCTAGGTTAACCTCGTACGGACGGACGGAGACGGACGGTTCAATTACCTTATGCCCGGGGGCATAAAAAGTAAAACACAAAACAAAAGTTTATCTATAGAATAGTAAGACAATCTGTCAAGATACATTGCATTGAATATTAAGGCAACTGAGAAATAACAGTCAATATAAAAAATATGTTTTCAAATGAAATTAATTTTCATTCTCTCTCAAACAAATAATTATCTGCTTACACCATATTGTAAATTAGATATAAAGGATATCAAAAGAGTGAAGGTTAAATACTGAATTTTACCAAACATGTTGAACAAATTAAAATATATATAATGTGAGCCTATGGTGAGCATAATATTTATTAATTATTTTATACCTACATGAATATGCTATTTAACCCTATCAATACTTTGATTACAAAGACCTAACAACTAAAACTGAAATTAAATTATTTCAGAAAAAAAAAACACAAAAAAAAAACAACATATATAACATACAAACGATTTTTGTCAGATAACAAAATGTAAATTTATGACAACAACTACCTGATATTACATCATATTGTCTATTTTCACAAGCTTGGCACATTTTTGAAACAAATATCTCCCCAGTAACTGCCCTATCTTTTTGTCTGAAATATATAAAAAACGGACTCCACTGAGGTTTATTGACATCACTGACATCACAGACTATTCATTTTTTTTAGACTTGTACATCATCTGAAGTCTGTCTGGACAAATAACATGCCTGCAAAATTGCTGACCATTAGCTTACTCCCACTTTTCCTGTATCATCTTCATGGTGCAAAATAACCCAACAAGAGCTATCGGTAGGACAGCAACACTCGACTATTCTTAGTGCTTGTAAGTAAAAAAAGCCTGATTAAAAAGTAAAATTTTCTATGTAAAGAAAAAGGCAAATTTTTTCTTTAAATCCATATTACAGTTATAGGCCTTGGAGAGAGTCCTATTATGCTCTCAAAGAAGAGTATAAAATTTCAACATGTTTCAAAGCCTTATGTCAATGAATTTTGAAAATATTTGAGGTATTACAAAAACTTTAAACGTAAATTCTAAGTCGAAAAAGGGGCATAATTCTGTCAAAATGCTTGATAGAGTTACCTCCTCCTGTCAACATGTTGGAGTCATTATGGTGAACAAGTGTGCAAAGTTTCAAAGCCATATGTCAATGGACTTTGAGAATATTTAAACTATTACAAAAACTTTAACGTAAATTCTAAGTCGAAAAAAGGGCATAATTCTGTCAAAATGCTTGATAGAGTTACCTCCTCCTGTCAACATGTTGGAGTCATTATGGTGAATAAGTGTGCAAAGTTTCAAAGCCATATGTCAATGGACTTTGAGAATATTTAAACTATTACAAAAACTTTAACGTAAATTCTAAGTCGAAAAAGGGGCATAATTCTGTCAAAATACTTGATAGAGTTACCTCCTCCTGTCAACATGTTGGAGTCATTATGGTGAATAAGTGTGCAAAGTTTCAAAGCCATATGTCAATGGACTTTGAAAATATTTGAACTATTACAAAACTTTAACGTAAATTCTAAGTCGAAAAAGGGGCATAATTCTGTCAAAATGCTTAATAGAGTTACCTCCTCCTGTCTACATGTTGGGGTCATGATTGTAAACAAGTGTGCAAAGTTTCAAAGCCATATGTCAATGGACTTTGAAAATATTTAAACTATCACAAAAACTTTAGCAAAAGTGGTTACGCCGACGCCGACGCTCGGGTGACTACAATAGCTCTACTTATTCTTATCGAATAGTCAAGCTAAAAATGAAAATGAAATCTGTCCAAGAATATAAACAAGAGGGCCATGATGGCCCAAAGTCGCTCACCTGTATATAGGCCCCTGGAGCGGGGCCAGTTTTAACCCCAGGGCTTTTATTTGAACAAACTTGGTTGTATATGTATGCATGTGTATATATATATATATATATATATATAATATATATATATATATATATATATATATATATATATATATATATATATATATATATATGGATTTATATTCAATCAACACATTGAAAAAAACACATTTTCCTTTACTAATTAGTTTCATGCGCAAAACGCAATCTTCAGAAGTGTAAATGGTAGTTCTCAATAAAGGGACGTAACTATGAAGTGTAAATGGTGGTTTCTCAATAAGGGGGCGTAACTATATTAATACTGTTCATTTTTTAAAGTTGCTTAATAGATATTTCCTGGAATGTCTGCAGGTTGTTACAAGTTCGTTTCTTTTGTTAAGTTTAGCGTTTTTTGTTGTTTGCAGATAATGTAGAATTTCTCCCAATAGGCACAAGTTGCATCGGTCGGAGGCTGGGTTGTAGGGTGAGGCTTGTTTTAAGATATTCCATGTTATGTTAAAGTCGATGTTTTCTTCTTTGAGTTCCCAGATATATTTACTTAATTCAGTGCTGTTTTTAAGCTTAGGATTTCTAAATGATGCTTTGTGTTTTTGTAAATCGGGTTTTAAAGGTATTTTCTGTTAATCCTACATAAGTTTGTTTAGGCTTGTCGTCTTTGTTCCACTGTAGCTCTATATACAACCGATTTCACCAAGCATCGTCCTGACATGGGGCAATCTATTAGTCAATCTATTTCACAAGTCAGGTGAACCATGGGGCAAGAAAGCGACATCCAATCTATTTGACGTAACTATGGAAGCTTCGATGGAGCAGAAACTTGTGAGTTAGTTGATTATATTTACTTAACGAAATAACACAGAAACATGGAAAAAACTTTGGGCTATATCGAGATGATGGTCTAGGTGTATCTGATGCGAAACCACGTGAAATTGAAAACATTAAAAAAGACCTGTGCTCTATCTTTTCTAAACACGGCCTGAAGATTACAATTGAATCCAACAAAAAAATCGTGAACTTTTTGGACGTAACACTCAACCTGAAGAATGGCAAACATGTTCCATACAACAAACCGAACAACACACCATTATATGTGCATACCGAATCGAACCACCCACCGAATATCATCAAGAACATACCCATAGGCATTAACAAACGTCTATGCGAAATATCATATGACCAAGAATCTTTTGACATAGCAACACCAATCTACCAAAGGTCTATTACAAATAGTGGATATAAACACCAACTTAAATACTCAAATGAAGAAAAGACAGACAACGGTTACCAAGAATCGCAAAAACAGAAGCAGAAATTATAATCTGGTATAACCCACCATATAGTAAAATGTAGAAACCAACATTGGAAAAACGTTTCTGAAAATACTAGACGAAGAATTTCCCAAGGAACACTTGCTACACAAAATATTCAATAGAAACACAGTCAAATTAAGTTATAGTTGCATGAACAATATAAAAAAACATAATCGACGGACATAACAAAGCTATTCTTTTCCAAAGAAATAGTAAAAAATCAGCCTAAAACATGCAATTGTAGGAAAATAATAGATTGCCCCATGTCAGGACGATGCTTGGTGAAATCGGTTGTATATAGAGCTACAGTGGAAACAAACGACGACAAGCCTAACAAACTTATGTAGGATTAACAGAAAATACCTTTAAAAACCGATTTACAAACCACAAAGCATCATTTAGAAATCCTAAGCTTAAAAACAGCACTGAATTAAGTAAATATATCTGGAACTCAAAGAAGAAAACATCGACTTTAACATAACATGGAATATCTTAAAACAAGCCTCACCCTACAACCCAGCCTCCGACCGATGCAACTTGTGCCTATGGAGAAAATTCTACATTATCTGCAAACAAGAAAACGCTAAACTTAACAAAAGAAACGAACTTGTAACAACCTGCAGACATTCCAGGAAATATCTATTAAGCAACTTTAAAAAATGAACAGTATTAATATAGTTACGCCCCTTTATTGAGAAACCACCATTTACACTTCATAGTTACGTCCCTTTATTGAGAACTACCATTTACACTTCTGAAGATTGCGTTTTGCGCATGAAACTAATTAGTAAAGGAAAATGTGTTTTTTCAATGTGTTGATTGAATATAAATCCATACATACAGCTCTGGATACCATCGAGCACTCTGTCTAGGGTTTGTACTGACTTTTAGTGTTATTGGATTTATATATATATATATATATATGTATGTGTATATATATATATAATATATATATATATATATATATATATACATATACATATATATATATACATATACATACATATATATATATACATATACATATATATATATATATACATATACATACATATATATATATATATATCATATATATATATATATATATATATATTATATATATATACATAATATGTATATGTATATATATATATATATCTATATATATTTATATATATATATATATATATATATATATATATATATATATATATATATATATATATATATATATATATATATATATATATATATACACATACATATATATATATATATATATATATATATATAATATATATATATATATATATATATATATATATATATATATATATATTGATATATTGATATATATATATATTTATATATAAATATTAAATATATATGTGTATATATATAATATGTATATATCTAAAAAAAAAAAAGTCAAGCTAATGAATGACCCCCGGGGCGGGGCCAATTTTTACCCTAGGGCTTTTACTTGAACAAACTTTGTAGACACTCATTAGAAGATGTTTCATGCTAAATATCTTAGCTCTAGCTCTTTGGGTTCTTTAAAAGAAGATTTTTTTAATTTTAACTATATGCATATAGGGAAAATCAAAGACACCCTGGGGCGGGGCCAATTTTGACCCTAGGGCTTTTATTTGAACAAACTCTGTAGACACTCACTAGAAGATGTTTCATGCTTTATATCTAAACACTAGCTATCTGGGTTTTTTCAAAGAAGATTTTTAAGTTTTTGCTATACACAGTCATATAAGGAAAATCAATGACCCCCGGGGCGGGGCCAATTTTGACCCTAGGGCTTTGATTTGAACAAACTTTGTAGACACTCACTAGAAGATGTTTCATGCTTAATAGCTAAACTCCAGCTATTTGGGTTTTTTTAAAGAAGATTTTTTAAGTTTTTGCTATACACATTTAAGGAAAATCAATGGCCCCCGGGGCGGAGCCAATTTTGACCCCAGGGCTTTTATTTGAACAAACTTGGTAGACACCTATTAGAACATGTTTCATGCTGAATATCTTAGCTCTAGCTCTTTGAGTTCTTTAAAAGAAGATTTTTTAAGTTTTTACTATATGCATATAGGGAAAATCAATGACCCCCTGGGGCGGGGCCAATTTTGACCCTAGGGCTTTGATTTGAACAAACTTGGTAGGCACTCATTAGAAGATGTTTCATGCCAAATATCTAAGCTCTAGCTCTTACGGTTTTTTAGAAGAAGATTTTTTAAGTTTTTCTTATTGGTTGCCATGGCAACCAGAGATTTTATTTGAATTTAAATTTTTGAACAACTTTGAAAGGGGTCCACCTAAGGATCATTTCTGTAAAGTTTGGTTGCAATTGGCCATGTAGTTTAGGAGGAGATGTTGTTTGAAAAGTTTGACGCCATTTTTTGAAGGACGCACGACGCACGACGGACGCAGAGTGATGACAAAAG